TTCCGTTGGAATTCCGTTGGAATTCCGTTGGAATTTTTTTTAAAATTTTCAAAAAAATTTCCAACCGGCGTCCGTTGGAATTCGGTTGGAATTTTTTTAAAAAAAAATTCCAAAAAAAATTCCAACCGGCATCCGTTGGAATTCCGTTGGAATTTTTTTTAAAAATTTGGAATTTTTTTTTTAAATTTTCAAAAAAATTCCCAACCGGCATCCGTTGGAATTCGGTTGGAAATTTTTTAAAAAAAAATTCCAAAAAAAATTCCAACTGGCATCCGTTGGAATTCCGTTGGAATTTTTTTAAAAAATTTCCAAAAAAATTTCCAACCGGCATCCGTTGGAATTCCGTTGGAATTGTTTTCTAACAAACATCCGTTGGAACTCCGTTAAAAATTTGCAACCAATTTTTCCAACGTTAATCCGTTGAAAATTTCCAACGGATATCCGTTGGAAATACCGTTGGAAATTTCCAACCTAATTTTTCAATTGAATACGTTGAAAATTCCGTTAAAAATTTCCAACGGGTGTTTCCAACGGATAACGGGTGTTTCCAGCGTGTATCCGTTGGAAATTTTTAACGGAATTTTAACGGAGATCGTCGTTGAAACGCCGTTGAAAACCGTTGAAAATCCGTTGGAAATTTTCCAACGGACAAATCCGTTGGAATTTGCGGATTTTTTTGTAGTGATTAGCAGCTGTTTCGAAGAGATTCCGATCACCTGCCAAAGGAACAATAAATAATCACCGACACAAACAAAAAAAACCAATAGGGAACGTACGGTTTCACAGCATTACACAAGCTTTGAGGAGATAGCATTCTCAAGCAAATCCAAATCAACAAAAGAGCAAAACCCACGATCAAGATCGAACCTGGAGGAATGGCGTGAAAGAGCTGGAGGAAGATGATGAAATAAATAGAGAGGAGAAAGTGGGTAACCGTTGTAGCGAGAAGAGGAGCTTGAAGGAATCGACAGGGAGGGAGAGATGCCATGCCATTGCCAACGACTCTGGAATCTTAATCCATGGCATATTCTCTGATTCTGATCGCCGTCACCTGGACCGGTTTCTTTCCAGGCTTCCTCGTGGTTCTTTGTTTATGGGCCGTTGCCCAACCGTCTCGGGGGAAAAAATCAAGGTTTCAAATTGTATTAAAATACCGATAGCAAGAGAAGGAACGTTAACAATAATGCATTCTTAAACAAAATAATAATCGTACATTTAACTATAGTTAGGATCTTAGTAACGATGAGTGGTTTGGTGGCTTTACCATTTCAATTAACATAAATTTTCATTGAAAAGCATCTGACCCTTTTCATTCGCCGTTGATACTTGCACAGTCGAAGCAGATCGGACCGTCCAATCGTTTTCCTTTCCATTATCGAGCTGATACGAATATAGCTTTTACCATTAAAAATTATTAGTATTTATTCTCTCCACACCTCATACAAAATTCCACTTTGGAATATAGTTTATTTGTAGCAGCACTATATATATATATATATCCGTAAAAAGGCATGTGCAAGTGGAGGCCCCATAACTTGATGGATCCCACATTTAAAAAAATAATTTTGAAATATTAATAATTTGTAATTATATTTATTAACATACATATGATAAGAAATTAAAATTATATATAGCATAAAGTTTCTTAATTATTATCATTAATATTTATAATTTTTGAGTTATATTTATGACTTTTTAATATGAAATTTATCAATTAATATAATTAAAAAAAAATTATTTAATATTTTTATAAAAATAAAATTGTAGAAGGTCTCTAAATAGTTCTGGACGGCTCTGTGCGTGTATATATATATATATGGAGAAGCTGCATGATGATGTCCCTTCCCCTTCCAAATATGCATCATCATATGCTCTTTTCTCAAGACATGAACGAGCCATGCCTCTCATATACTGCAGTAAATCTCTCATCTGACACTTCTCTACTTTTAGACAAGCAGAATCTTGTCGTCATTTTAAATAAATTGGCGTGAATTTTAGGCATGGTATATGGCATCCCCTCGCTTGCGATACCATATTCCTCTCACTGGCAACTGTGACAAAGCAATTCTGCGCTATAATACTGCAGTTTTATAAGCAGAGGCCGCAATGTCTTGAGATAGGCGCATAGCAAGATATTGGATATAGAGTAGAAATAATGGCTCAGATGGCAAAGTCAATGATAGAAGTGGAGATCGGTGTGTCGGCTGATAAAATCTTCCAGGCGCTCAAGGCCACTTCACGGAGCGTACCGAAATTATCTCCGGACAAGATACTTAATGTCGAGGAGCAAGATGGATGCACCAAGAACTGGACTCTTTCTGTCGGTGAGTTGTTATATTGCAACAGAAAAAAAGAAAAGGGTTAATTAATTTTGTTGAAGAGGAATGCTTTGGCTTTGGAAATGGCGTAATGAGATGGGATGTGTTTCAGATGGAAAAGTGGAAAAGATGAAGGAGAGAGTGGAAGTGGACGACGAGAACAAGTCGATGACAGTGTTCGTGTTCGAAGGAGATGTGATGGAGCACTACAGGAGCTTCAAATGCAGCCTCCGGATCATTCCAAAGCTCCATGGAAGCATTGCCAGATGGAGTTGGGAGTACGAGAAGCTGCATTCGGATTCTCCTGCTCCTAACAAATATATGGATTTCGCAGTGAATCTCACCAAAGATATTGAGTCTAATCTTAGAAACTAAGTGTTCCATCTCTCACCAGACCAGTTGCTGTTTATTACTCAATCTGCTTCCTGTAACAACGACCACGTGCTAATATATTTATTTATATGAATAAAATCTTGAATGAATTGTTTTTCCCCTTGAATTGAAGTTCTCATATGGGAAAAGGAGCAAGAGCAACCCAAATCAATTCATCGGGTAAAATGATGAGTAATGAAAAATGGGGCGGCAAATAGTGTCGTGTCATGTAGGTATATTATTGTCCAACTACCAAATTCAACTCGGCGGAAATGTTATAAACCATATTATGTGGGGATAATGTTCAAATATATCGGATCTCGAATAAAATTACAAGATATATCGTATAATGAAAATCTTATCAAATCCGAAAAATATATATTTATAAATATTTATTATTATATTTAGTTACTTATTAAATATATATAAAACTCTCAATTATATTTTCGTATTTTATTTTTCAATATGATATCACAACTTAGTTATAATTTGTTCGGTATATTTTTTATTTTTATCTTATAATATCTTTTTTTTTTGAGTTTTGGATATTTTATAATTTCTGTATTTTATTTTTTAATATAAAGAACTTGTGAATTATAATATAATATTCGTAACATAAACTACCTACTAAAGTTCTAAAATGTCTTCCATTCACGAAAATGCGTGATATAAAAATGTATTGTTGTGTAGAAAATGACAAAAAAAAAATCACATGATTATAGGTTTTTTTGGTCGCTGATGATGAACCTAAACCACAAACAACGAAATGAAAATTGAGTTGACAAGTTTACAAAGAAGGAAAGACGTGAAATGTGTGGTTGAACAGAGAAGAGAATTGAATCAAAGGGGTAGGCAATGAGGGACACGTATGACAAGGACATGCATGAACAATTGAACATAGAGCTTCGGCATGCTTCTTCAATACCTGCTGGTCTTATATAAAGGGGGGACGCACTCATCATCATCATCATTATTAACTTTTGATAAAAACATCAAAAGCCATTGAAATGAAAGATACTTGGAGAGGAAAATAAGATAAAGAATCACAATATGGAGAGGAAGAAGAAGAGATGTTGAAGAAAGGATAAACGTTTTCTATTGTGTTCATTGATCCAAATAACATAATGCTCCTTAAATACAATAGGAGAAGACACCCTTAAAAACCCTAACCAAACTAAACCAAAATAAACCAAACCATCAAACCAAACCATTCTAATAATCATCATCAACACACAAGCAATATAGCAATAGTAGAGAAAGAGATGGGGTTGCCATTGCCAATGAGATGGAAGGTGGAGACAGAGGTAGAGATCAAAGCTTCGGCGGAGAAGTTCCACCACATGTTCGCAGGGAGGCCGCATCATGTGTCCAACGCCACTCCTCACAACATTCAGAGCTGTGACCTTCATGAGGGCGAGTGGGGCAAAGTCGGCTCTATCATCTTCTGGAAATATGTTCATGGTATCATTCCTTTTCTTCCCTTTTTTTTTGTGTGTATATATATATATACACACTTGATGAAGCCATTGGGGTGTGTGTGTGTATATATATCATGAACTGCAGATGGGCAGGAGAGAGTGGCGAAAGATGTGATAGAGGCCGTGGACCCAGACAAAAACATGATAAGATTCAGGGTTATAGATGGAGATGTACTGAAAGAGTACAAGACATTCCTAATGACAATCCATGTGACCCCAAAGGAGGGAGGGGAGGGGAGTGTGGTGCATTGGCTCTTGGAATACGAGAAACTCGACGACAAAGTGGCTCACCCCGAGACTCTTGTTCAGTTATGTGCTGAAATCTCCAAGGATATCGACAAACATCTCTTGTCCGAGGCCTAGATGCCTTCCTTATACATATAATTAAGCTTCCTACCCATTACATAAGTTGTGATCAACCAATAAGAGCTAGCTGCTAATTCACCAAAAAAAAAAGCTGCTATACATATGTGGTAGCTATGTGTGTATCGTCTTCTGCGCTGTTTGTTATGTAATTGTACCTGTGATGGAACCAAGACTTTCATGTGCTACCTTCGTTTGAGTATTTCATTTTTAAATATTTACGTAATCCATAGAAATCACATTTCATTTCATCGTACGGTTTTTGTTGATGGATGGCGGCATGGTGCTGTACCATATATTACAAAAAGTCACATCTAAGGCTCCATACCCAAGTCCAACATGTAAGAAATAAATCATTATTTTTTTTATTTAAAAACAAATTAAATTGATAAATTTTATATTTAAGTTTTTTATTTAATTATTTTATAAATTTAGTTAATATTTTTTTATCAAATCAAATAACAATAAAATTTTTATTACAACTATTTTAAAAATATATATATTAAAATCATACCATCTTTGGTAATTTAAATCAAACCACAACTATAATCAACTATTCATTTCTACTCGCAATTATCCGCAATCGTTACCAACAAAAACTTATCAACCAATCATTACCAATCGTCCACAATCGCCAAGAAACGCATTGAAAACGTCGTCACTCGCAACCGCAACAGTATGTTTAATCGTTTATTTGGGTTAATTTGGTTAAGTCATTACACACATGGTTTAATGAATTAAAACCTATTTAACCGATAAAATGATCATAACCCAAAAAACAATCCAAATACAATAATAATTGGGTTGGATTGGTTTAACCCATCTAACACAATCCAATTTGATATTCATAAGTGAATCTCACCAAAGATATTGAGTCTAATATTAGAAACAAAGTATTCCATCTTTCATCAGACCAGTTGCTGTTTATTACTGAATCTGCTTCCTATAACAACGCCATGTGCTAAATTAGTTAATTATATGAATAAAATCTTGAATGAATTTTTCCTCTTTAATTGAAGTTCTTATATGGTAAAATGAGCAAAAGCAACCCAAATCAACTCATCTGGTAAAATGTCATGAGTAATGAAAAATGGGGCGGCAAATAGTGTCATGTATGCATATAATTGTGTCCAACCACCAAATTCAACTTGGCGGAAATGTTATAAATCATATCATGTGGGGACAACACATTGATTATAGGGGTTTCTATTGAATGTAAGACTAAACACGCTATTTTTAGTTTTTCTTCATTTCTTGTTATAAAAAAAAATGAAATAAGGGGTTCTCTTTTACGGACGAAGTGCAATCAATCCTTGGATATAAATTATTAGATGATATATGCCATAATGAATGTTAGGTGAGGGTGTGGAAATTGTAGGTGTAATGATAACTCAATGTCGTTGGATATAATAAATTTGTGATATATATGGGCGGTGTCGACCCATACCAGCTAACTTCACGCATATATACGTAAATAAATCAATCAAGGTGGGGGACGTCAACGTCGTCAGGGGATCCGTTAAACTACCAACTAAAGTTGTAAAATGTCTTCCATTTACGAAAATGTGTGATATAAAAATGTATTATTGTGTACAAAATGACAAAAAACACATACGATATCGATTATAGTTTTTGGTCGCTGATGATGAACCTAAACCACTAACAAGAAAATGCATTTTGAGTCGATAAGTTTACAAAGAAGAAGGAAAGGCGTGAAATGCGTGATTGAAGAGAGAAGAGATATTGAATCAGAGGGGCATGGCAATTAGGGACACGTCTGACAATGACATGCATGAACAGAGAGCTTCTTCACTACCTCTCTTGTCTATAAAAGGGGGGTCGATGGGCTCGTCATCATCATAATAAACACACAAGCAATATAGCAGCAGTGGAGAAAGAGAAAGAGATGGGGTTGCCAATGAGATGGAAGGTGGAGACGGAGGTGGAGATCAAAGCTTCGGCGGAGAAGTTCCACCACATGTTCGTAGGGAGGCCGCACCATGTGTCCAACGCCACTCCTCACAACGTCCAGGGCTGTGAGCTTCATGAGGGCGAGTGGGGCAAAGTCGGCTCTATCGTCTTCTGGAAATATGTTCATGGTCTCGTTCCTTTTCCTCCCTCTTTTTTTTTTTGTGTGTGTATATATACGCAGTAACAAAGTTGATGAAGCCAATCGTGTGTGTGTGTATATTATGAACTGCAGATGGGGAGCAGAAAGTGGCGAAAGAGGTGATAGAGGCGGTGGACCCAGACAAAAACATGATATCGTTCAGGGTTATAGATGGAGATATAATGAAAGAGTACAAGACGTTCCTCATCACGATCTACGTGACCCCAAAGGAGGGAGGGGAGGGGAGCGTGGCGCATTGGCACTTGGAGTACGAGAAACTGGACGACAAAGTGGCTCACCCCGAGACTCTTGTCCAGTTCTGCGCCGATGTCTCCAAGGATATCGACCAGCACCTCCTGTCCGGGGCCTAGATCGATGCATATGCCTCAGTTCCCTCCCGTCCATTACATATAAGTCGTGATGAAACTATTCAATAAGAGCTACTATACAGATGTGGTAGCCCTCTCTCTTTATGATATAGACATATATGTGTGTATATGTAATTTCTCCGTGGTTTGTTACGCAAGTGTGGCTGTTGTTATGTAATTGTGCCTGCGATGGGAACCGAGGCTTTTATGTGCTACCGTTTCATCTTTACTTATTTATGTAAAATATCCATAGAAATATCACATTTCATATTACAAATCCTCCCAAGAGTATAGAGATGGTCGCAATGGGCGAGTTTACGTGGTTTTACCCTAAACCCAACGAGTATGTTTGGATTGTTTTTATGGGACATTTTAATTCAATCAGTATCTACTAATTAAATGGAGAAGCTCACTCATTTTATTAAAACCCGATATGATTATACTTCGGTTCCATTCATAACTAAATAACACAACATTACCGAATTTGTACGATTTTTTTTTTAAATTGCAAGAAAAAAAATCAAACCCAAAAGGAATATAAAAATAATCACAAAAACAAATTTTTTTTTTTTAAAACATGAACGGTTTGTCAATAAAAACCGAATTACATTAATAGTTGCATTGACTCTTATTTTGGATTAGAAACTGAATTGAAGTGAATTTTTTATTATAAAAAATCGGGCGGATATAGTTTTTCTAAAATTAAAATAACCGAATCCAAACATAGTCGATTCGAATTTAAACTTTATTCAATGTAAAAAATCGAATTGGTGTCATTTCATTAAAATAAAAAATCTCAGTCCAAACCAAACATAAAAATGATCGAAAAAAAACCAAAAATTTCTTTCGAAAATAAATAGTTATCAGTAACAATCGAACCCAAATAAAAATTGAACTAAACACGATCCAATATAAAAGCTAAATAAGTATAGTTTTTATACAGTCAAAATAATCGAATAAAAACATGAGTGAATGGATATTGATTTATATATTTTTTGTAATATAGTTTTGATTTAACTGAATTATATATTGTAAAATATCACTAATAGATGAAATGTTGGTCTAATTGGGTTAAATAGACGTGACTGAATTTTATGGGTTTCAACCCCTATAGTTTTTAACTTATAATCCAAATGGAATGGCCTACTTGAATAAATTGGGTTAACCATTTTGACCTATCTACCCTTGACATGCGGTCCACGAATTTTGAATTGTTTCTCCAGAAGGCTTCATCAAACAATCAAGAATCGGGCATCTTATCTTTTCTCGTATCTTACACAAAGAAGTTGAATTTCTTCCACCACCAGTGCTGAAATTTATGCATTTCAAGGGTATTCGAAATTTTAGGATTATCGAACCCGAATTCGAATTTTTCGCAAAATAATATATCTAAAATAGAATTCGTTGTCTCTAGATACACCCAAAAATTGAGTATCCGAACGCAAAATTTTAAAACAAATTTTAACAAAAATATGAACTATAACTAAGATATATAAAAATTATGATATGTTTACAAATATAAAATTTAAAATATGATAAATAAAAACACATGAAAAAGATATAAAAAAATTATAGATGGAGAGGTTTGATCACCTTAGATTTAGATTTTTATATAATACAATTAAAATATAGGGATAAATTTGTAGAGATGCAACAACAAAAGAAAATACATCAAGAGACGAATAAAGTCAAGCATGAATTGATGGGGAACATAACATTCCCCTTATATTCCAAGAAACGTTTCGGGGAATATGAAGCTCTACCCTTATTTGGAGAAAAGTGTCACACTGAAGCTAATTAAGTAGTGAAAGCAACATTATTTTATCTGTTGTTGGTATTATTGTTACGGAGACAATTAGAGGATGTCAGGCATAACCATCTTTGGAATGAAGAGAAAGGAGCTGAGAAGACCTGGCCGCCGTGTGAAAGCCGCTGGCGAACCTGCCGCGGCAGAAGCCCTTGCAGCCCCCCGCGTTCACCCATTCCAGCTTCAACTCCACTTCCCCGCTCTCCACGTTCCTCAACCTCACCTTCATTTCTTGTGTTATCTTCCCGCTCCCCGACACCATTCTGCTCGAATGTTTTCTCCATCATTCTCATCTTATCACGCATATTTTACTAGAAGGAAAGGAAAAGGAAACGGGTGCTTACATGACGCTGGGCTTAGACAAGCAGTTGTGTGGGTTAGGAGGGAGAGACATGACGTGAGATCCAACCGGGGGTTCAGGAGGAGCAGTTCTCACAGCTTCTAGGAATGGCTTTATGTCTACCACCGCTTCGCCCATCTCATCATCCCCCGTGAATGCGTCCTTATCATACACTTTCTACACCCACAAACCATGACCCAACAGTCTACACTTTTTAATTGAAAAAAGTGTTTGGTTTACGTATATCAAATACCGACTCACCAGGAACACTGGCGTGTTAGGATCTGTGACAGACAGCAGTAAATCCTGGTTCCACTCGGGGTAGCGATTTTGAAGGATGGTTCGAGTCTTGAGGCTCTGAAAGCATGCAGTTTGTGTCACTGGACACAGACAGACAAGAAACACAAATGAGAGAGAAGAAGAGAAACCTGTTGACCCATCTTGACAACCGCATAAGGATCGCTTGAGAAGAGATCTCGACGTGCCAGATTTATCCCTCTCTTCACACTTATCTTCAGATACCCCAACACCTCCTCCATTTCTTCACCTTCCCTTTGTTTTTTTTTTCAAAGAGTAGACTGAAGCGCGGGAGAGTAGTTGTTACTTGTTTAGGGCGGTCTACAACTCATACCCCCCAAAAACAACAAAACTTGTCATGGAGGGGGACACAGAACAAAAAGATTCTTTCAGACCGCTTTACTTGGTGTCTTTACGTCGTTGGGTTCTCTCTGCGTAAATCCCACGAACCCCCTTTTCCATCTGATCTTATTCGATCCTGTGAAAACGACCCCCTTCTTATCCCATTCTTCATCTCTTACTTTTCTCTCTTCTTCCTTTGAAAATCAAAAGGGCTCCTAAAGATTGCAACTTTCTGTTGGATTATGAAAGCGCTCATCCAAAAGATTGCAACTTCCGGTTTTACTGAAAAAGGATCCTTTTTGGGGCCATTAGCATGATCACATGACATAATTCGCATTCCAAGCCTCTTTTTTGGTCCGTTATATTGTATTAAGGGTTACAGAGATGAGGTACATGTAGATTACAGGGTTTGGCTATATTCCAGAGTTACATCTGAGGCCAAAGCAAGGGCCGCCTATTAGTCAATCTTAAAGACAACTTCTCCTCGTATGACGTCGGATGATGAAGCAGCAAAGGGAATAGCGTAAAGAACCACACTCCAGTCAGCCATAGAGTAGAAAGGACAGGGCATGTGATTATCGTCACGGCCCCTGGAAGCGTCCTTCTAGTCCAGCCGTTTCGTCGGCATCCATGGGGTCTTCTTGGAACCTAGTTCACAGAGGAGAAGAATAAAAATGATTTGTGTTTTGAACAACTCAAGGTCTAACAAGTAAAAAACCCATTAGTACCTTCGCGAGCAAGACCCTTGCATCCAGGGCCGTCAATCCACTCGAGCATGATCTCTACCTCGCCACACTCCACATTCTTGAGTCGTAGAATCATGTCCTGTGTTATCTTACCATTGTTCCACAAGATGCTGCTCTCTTCAGCCAAGCAGTTAGCCCTGCTCGGGCGAACCCTCTTGATCGCACATCCGTTGGGGAGCTTCTGGAAATCAATTCCCATCTGCATGGCCTCAAGGTACGGCTGGATGTCTATGTCTGCATCCCCCATTTTGTCATCCCCCGAGAATCTGTCTTTATCATACACTGTCTGCGTACACACACAAGTTTCGATTTAGTGAACCTCCTGTACTATTTGTTTCTTCATATCCAACAACCAGCTGCAGACAATAACATTCTGTGACAACATAAACCACCAATTCCTAAACAATACAACAGCAAGATTCCAACATCGATCTTGTCATCCAGATTCAAGCCATTTAAGTTTCAATAACACAATATAAAACAAACCTGTGATCAAACTTACCAGATGGATAGGATCGTTCATATCCTTGACAGAAAGCGTCAAATGTTCATTCCACACCGGATTACAGTCATTGTTGACCACACGCGTCTTCAGTTTCTGAAAGGACAATATGTATAACACGACGTCAGAAGATAAGAAAATTCAAAAACAGAAAACTACTGAATACAAGATACAACCACCACCACACCACCGGGGATGGAAACCCATAGATAAAAAAAGAAGAAACTAGTATATATAATATATTCATTTTTTATATTGGTAATTTCAGGCAATGCGGATAGGTAATCTTCCAAGTGGGAACAAGAACAAAAGAGAGAAAGTTGGAAGTCTCTCTGCTGCATGGTGGTCCTGAGAGGGCAGGGCATGATCAGAATCGTCACGTGGGTAAAATCCCAGAAGCCCTTGTCGGTTATGGATCCGATTTACTCTCGTAAATAGTAAAAGAAGAGAGAGAGGAGACCTGTTGGCGCAATGTGAGAACAACGTAAGGGTCGCTGGTGGTGGCATCGCGTATCGCCAGATTAATCCCTCTTTTGAGGTGTACCCTCATAATCCCTAGCGGCTTATCCTCCATCTCTTGTTAATCCCCAACGCTACCAACAAATCTCTTCTTTTTCTTTTAATTAAACGATGCCCCAGAAGAAAATCTGACAACAATCACAGGACCCCCTCTGCCCGAATTTACCCTGTTTTACAGAACGAACGCCCGATTTCATCGCCACTCCCCTTCCTCTAAATAGGGTTCGTCTCCCTTTTTAAACTTCTGTTAACACCCATTTGTAGTAAATGAAAGCCTTAGTACACGTGGACACTTTTAAACTTAGATGAAGGGAGTTTTTAGGGGAGCGTGTTCATTCCGTGTCCTAAACAAAGCCGTAACTCTTCTTCTTTTTACATTCCCCTCGTATTGAGTATATATCATCAAAATTTTAATTTAAAAACGTATTTATCCATAACAACATAAAAAGATATCATAAAATTGTCACATTTTACCCATTTACAAAAGATTATCAATAGTATTCATGAAAAACATCACAAATCACCATATTTCAATTGTTTATAATTTCGGCATTTTTTTTTCTCTAAAATCTAAACCCATCTCATGCCAATAAACAGTCAGATATTTGAGTTTTGAATATCCGAACTGTTGGTTAAAATTAAACGAAGTATCGAAAATTTGGGTATTCAGATAAACTCGGAATATGCCGCTCTTCTCGGGGTGAGCTGTCACGCATCTTGGCTTGGTTGCTGTTGCTGTTGTTGTTTCGATCTCACAGAATCCTAGATTGATTTGGTTACGAGATTAGCGCTGCGTTTAACCCTACCTTTTTGTCTTTATGGAAGATTATATTCAGATTTGGTCGTTCTATACACTGAATCAACGGGATGTGTGTAAAGGCATACCTGCATCCAATTAAAAAAACGTGCAATCTTATGCAGAATATCGAATTTTAAAAATGTATTATATTATTATTAACCATTGTTAATCTGAGATGGTTTGGTATTTTATTGGAAAACTATTAAAATTGGACCACGAGCTTGCATTCTTATTTAGAATGTAGCTGCCGATGTTGTCAATAAAAAGGAAGTTAGTTAATATATTCAGAGGAGAGAATCTCGTAATTCAACTGTCACAAAACTTTCAAATTTAAATACTGAATTTTTCTTTCTTATTTTAACTTTTATTTCTATTTATTTAAATATAATATATAGTCTAACTTGGTATGCCACGTCACCATGTATGTCATTGATCCACTGTGTAGAATTTGTTAAAATATTAATAGTTCATGAAAGTTTGGTCATATTTTATATTTTTATAAATAGTAAAACTTAGTATTTAATCTGGAAGTTTTAATATGATTAGATTTTTTTTTTAATGAGATTCTTCTGCATTCATTGTGATGGGCAAAATAGGAATATGCGAAGAGAGGAAAGCCGCTGTCAACATGTGCCAATTAAAGAATTTTAGATGCATACGTCTTATTATGCAATGTTTTTGCCAGCCCTTCCCTTCCTTCTTCTGCTTCATCTTAAAAAAGGGGAAAAAAATACGCACAGAAGGAAACAAAACATAGACGAAATTCCCAAAAAGCCCTAACCCTAACCCTAACAAAGCGTCGGCCTTTAGATTTTCTTTTAAATAACCGTCACCCCCATCCCCTCCCTATTCACATCGCTATTCTCCTCTTGCTCTCTCTCTCTCTCTCTCTTTTGCCGGTAACGGTTCGTCGGAATTGATCTCCGGTGGCGTTTGTGAATGGTGGAAGCAATCTCGAGCGGCGGTAATCATACGCTCTCCCTTTCGACCACAAGGGCGAGCTTCTTCATCCCTGCGTCCTCTTCCTCTGTTTTCGCCTTCGGATCTTGCAAGGAAGGCTGGTACTTCCGCTGCCTCGGCCTCGACCCCTGAATCCCCTTTCCCTTTTGATTCTCTGAAAGATGTTGCTGTACAACAAGCATAAGAAGAACCACACCTCCAAGGGGAACCGCATCCTCATCAGCGTCACCGTTCTCGGCAGTGCTGGTCCGATCCGGTTCGTTGCCTACGAGGGCGATCTCGTCGCCTCCATCATCGACACCGCTCTCAAATGCTATGCTCGCGAGGGTCGCCTCCCCATTCTCGGCTCCGATTTCAACGATTTCCTTCTCTATTGCCCCGTCGCTGGTCCCGAAGGTATTCCCATAATCAAATACCCTACTTTGCTTACCTATTTCTTTTCTTCCCCGATAATGCCCAAATCCTGATTTGAATTATCTCTGATCCGGGTTCGCGTTTGTCTTTGTGTGGCAGCTCTTAGACCATGGAACACAATTGGGTCGCTGGGGGCACGCAATTTCATGCTGTGTAGGAAGCCAGAGGAGAAGAAGCTTGGCGATGGCGGTGATAGAAGGCCGAATTCCACCATTAACGGAGGCAGAAAGGGAGGTGGGAGCTGGAAGACGTGGATCAACAAGTCTTTCAGCTTGAAAATCCCCAGCCATTAGATTCATGGAATACCCGAGATGGGCTGTGTTTGAAATTTGCTTGTTTCGTTTGTTTCTCCATTTAAGCTGTCGATTGTTTTGGTCAGGCTGCGGACTGTGCAGGCGCTGAGGCCTTTTTTCTTTCATGAATTTCTCAATCTTCGGAATAAAAGTCGTATTCATCGTTGGTTTTACTGTTGGTCAATTGAAGAATCAAGTGATATTCATTCAATGTAGACTAGAATGCGATGGAAAGAATGCAACTTTTGGATGGGGGGCATGAGAAGTGTTTTGTAAGATATTTTTCAAGTACAAGTTGTATACGTTTTCAGAAGAAAGTTGTTCGAGTGGATGTCATCATGGCTTTTGCCCCAATCCAAAGCAAATATTATCCCCGAAATTAATATCAAGAATGGCCGAAGCTGGGGGCAACATGATGTGTGTTCGGTGAGGTTGTAGAAGGGAATTCCGAATTGAAAACATTGCATTCACATGCAGGTGGCGTTGATTTCAAGCGTCATACCGTATGTGGATACAAACTCACTGATTAGGGCCCATCCCATTGGAAAACGAACCCCCAGTTGATGCGTGATGTGATGTCCCTCGCGCGCGGCTCTTCCAACCCCCGGGGGGTCATTCAAGTGGGAAGTTATAACACAAGGTACGCTTAGAAAGATGATGCCGTACCAACTCTGTACTGATGCCGTGCGTTGCTTCTCCTCCTCCCCGATATTTCTTCCATGAAACGACAGAATCATTTTCTGGACTGCTCGATCCTTCTCCACTCAGCATTTGGCCGCTTCTTCAGGATCTCACTGTTGAATCATATCTTTTCCTATATCATATTATATGATCCCTTCACACCCACACGGCCCTTAGCCTTTTTACTCCAACTTCACTTTGATGGGCTTTCCTCTCCCTACTTTAGGCCTCGCCCAACTCCTGGGCTTTTCATTTGGAACCATAATTATATATATATATATATATGGAACATAATATTCAATTTCGATATTTTTATATGATTGTTGGACTTAACGTTGTAATCATCTTGCCTTGTGTGAAGCATGCATAGGGTCACTTGGCCATCTTCCATATGATTTCTTATATATATATATATATATATATATATATATATATAAATATATATATCTATATCATATCAAGTAGCCATGACCCATGAGAATCTTTATTCTTATTATAACCGAACACATAATATCTCGAAGTTGTTTTAGGGTTTACTCAAAAGTCATCATGCGGAGGATTTCATGTGAATTGGGATTGAATGGAAGCTACTGATATCTATGGTTTCATAAAATAAATCGAAATTATAATCCCAAACTTATTTTTGTCTAAATAGTATCTCTTCTATAAAAGTCAAGATGATAAACCTAAATTAAGAAATTAGAATGAGCAGCGGGTCTTCTTTTTGGAAATACAACGAAATCCAGATCTGAACAAGGATTGTTGGATAATAGTGAAGATTTTGATGGAGAGATTTGATATTGATCAGAGAAGCAAAGTCCAAACCTTATTCCTACAGGTTTGAACCAGACACGATAGAATTAGGGGAGAGTTTGATTTAGACAAAAAACTCTTTGTTCCCTTGATTTTCTGTACATCACGTTCTCTTACATATATGCAGCATATTAACTTGAAGTTAAGGTAAGTAAATAAATCAACAACTGTGAATAAGCAGATTTCCTAAATACAGAGGAAAGTTTCCTGATCTGATAGGATTCGATCTTGTATCTTGGAATGTCTTGGTTTGTTTCCTTTTCTTCATATTCGGATGTGGTCCTTGATAGATGCAGAACACGTCATGGTTCTCGTATCTGGAAGTTCTTGTTCTGTCTTTGTGTCTTCAACAGGTTCTTGGTCACTCTTCATGTCTTCAACATTCCCCCTCAAGATTGGCCGGGGATAGTCGACGAGGCCAATCTTGGAGAGACACTTGCTTAGGACATATGAGCTAGTTGCCTTGGTTAACACGTCAGCTAGTTGATCTTGGCTCCGAGTGTATTTTGGTGATATTAGTCCTTGAGTTATTTTCTCCCGGATGAAGTGACAATCCACTTCTATATGCTTCGTCCTCTCGTGGAATACTGAATTCGCCGCTATGTGCAGTGCTGCTTGATTGTCGCAATGCAAAGTTGTTGGAGCGTCCAGCTTGATTCCGAGGTCATCGAGCAGTTGACGCAGCCACATGATTTCGCTTGTAGTATTCGCCATTGCACGGTATTCGGCTTCCGCGCTTGATCGAGCTACCACGGTTTGCTTCTTGCTTTTCCATGTGACTAAGTTTCCTCCGACGAATGTGCAATATCCAGTGGTTGATTTCCGATCCGTTCTGTCGCCTGCCCAGTCTGCATCACAGTAAGCTACGATCTCGGTGTGTTGATTCTTTGTCATCCAGACTCCTTTGTTTGGTGTGCCCTTAATGTATTTAAGTATCCGAGTCACCATTAACCAGTGTGTAGTTGTAGGCGCATGCATCCATTGACTGACCTGATGCACAGCAAAACTTAAGTCAGGACGTGTAATTGTTAAGTAGATTAACTTACCGACAACGCGACGATATTGTTCTGCATCTTCCAGTGATTCCCCCTCGCGTTGATCCTTAAAATGTTCTTCAAGAGGTGTTCTGACTGGTTTGGAAGCAAGCATTCCCGTGTCCTGCAATAAATCCAGAGTATACTTCCTTTGGGATAAGAATAAAGAGTTAGTATTGGTTGTTACTTCGATGCCAAGAAAGTATTTTAAGGGGCCTAAGTCTTTGATGTCGAACACTGTCGTCAAGTATGTCTTTGTATCACGAATACCGGTAGAGTCATTTCCTGCAATTATAATGTCATCAACGTAGACAAGCAGAAGAACAATGCCAGCGGAAGTACGAAGAATGAAAAGTGAGTGATCAGAGTTACTCCGGATGAAGCCACGAGCCGTGATGGCAAGAGAGAGCTTATGATACCAAGCTCGGGGTGATTGCTTGAGGCCATAAATGGATTTGAGCAATCGACATACTTGACCCGATTGAAGGTTACGATGATATCCCGGTGGTGGTGCCATATAAATTTCTTCTTCAAGATCACCTTGAAGAAAAACATTCTTCACATCCATCTGCCATAACTCCCAATTTAAGTTAATAGCTAAAGAGAGAATGACACGAATAGAAGATAACTTAGCTACGGGGGCAAAAGTTTCTGTATAATCCTCGCCGTAAGTCTGAGTGTAGCCCTTGGCCACGAGGCGAGCTTTATATTGTTCAATTTCGCCGGTGCTTAGATATTTTATTTTATAGATCCACTTGCACCCCACCACTCGTTTGTCTGGTGGTAATGTTGTAATAGTCCAGGTACCATTCCGTTCGAGAGCATCGATCTCGTCTTGCATGGCTTGCTGCCAGACCGGAATATCCTTGGCCTGCAGAAAAGATCGAGGCTCCGATTCCTGCATGAGAGTGCTCAGAAAATTCTGATCAGTGGTCGAAAAACATGAAAGATCAGAAAAATATTCAATCGGATGCATCACTGTGTGATGACTTTTTGGATTTTGACCACCAAGGACCCAAGTGGCGGGGCTCAGCCGAACCGAGGGTTGTCGAGGGCGAGAACTTCTCCGGATAATCTCGGTCAAGGCAGGGGAGGAATCTGAGATGTGAGGCAAGTTTACTGGTTGTACAGATTCAGTGTGAGGAATCATGATGGCTGGGCTGTCGTCTTCATTAGCAGGTTCCCCCTCGGTTGGTATGCTAGAAGAGACAGAGGGAGAATCCTCATCAACCAGAGCAGCAGGATGTAGGGAGTTGTTCGGCAAGGCGTCCTCATCAGCAGCATTCGGCAGAGCGGCAACCTGCAAGGGAGAATCACGAGAACCAGAGGAGGGCGAACGAACCTGTGTTGGCTGAGAATCAGCAGGTCGAACAATCAGTACAGGGGTCGATTGATCCCCATGAGAGTTCCGATTCGAAGCCTGCAGGTTACTTATATTTTGTATAGATGTGAGATATTGTAAAAGATATTCATTGGAGTCTATACCTCTGTGAATCATGTTTTCCAAGGCAGACCAATCCTGTTTATCGAAGTAGCTTACTTCTTCGACAAATTTCACATCGCGGGAGGTATGAACACGATTACGTTGTGGATCATAACAAATATAACCTTTTGTGTCGGTAGGGTAGCCCAAGAACACGCAACGAATACTCCTAGGATCGAGCTTATCCCTGTCTGTTTCGTGAACACGGACAAAGGAAACGCAACCAAAAACTTTTAAGTGATCGAGTGTGGGTTTGCGCTGAAATAGTACCTCATAGGGTGACTGATCGTTGAGCACTTGGGTAGGCAGCCGATTGATTAAGTAACAGGCGGTTTTAACGGCATCGCACCAGTATCGCTTCGGGACATGGCGGTGAAACAACAACGTGCGGGCAACTTCCATGAGGTGTCGGTTTTTCCGCTCGGCAACCCCATTTTGTTGCGGTGTTTTCGGACAAGAGCGTTGATGTATAATCCCGTTTTGTAGAAGGTATTGGCGGAAGGCACCACTGAGATATTCTCCGCCATTATCTGTACGGATGGACTTAATCGTAGTGCCGAATTGATTAGTAACATAGGCAACAAAGTTTTGGAAAGCCTGAAAAACGTCACTCTTCTTCTGCAAAGGTGTTAGCCAAGTAAACTTCGACTTTTCATCAATAAACGTAACAAAATATTTGAAATTATCCCGGGAAAAACACAGGGCAGTCCATACATCGGAGTGGACCAGATCAAAGACATTGTCATAAATTGTGGAAGAAACGGGGAAAACAGATCGAACATGTTTACCAAGCGTACAAGCCTCACAAATTGAACGAACAGGTTTATAACTTGGAACAAGTAAATGGAGCACTTTCGAATGGGGATGACCCAAGCGATCATGCCAAATATCCGAAGTAGTAGAATGAAAACTAGAAACAGGGTCTTCAAGATAAAACAGATTGCCTTTTTGGTGTCCTTTGCCAATGATCTCAAGCGTGCTAATATCCTGAAATTCAACGATGTTAGGACGGAAAATAACACAGCAGGAGATCTGATCAAGAAGTTTCGAAATGGAGAGTAAGTTTGCTTTAAACTCAGGAACGTAAAGGCCGAACAGCTGGCGACCAAATAAAGTAAATGACCCATGTCCCGTTAATGGGAACAGTGTGGCCGTTAGCAACTGAAACCACTCCACTACATGGTTTAACAGAATCAAACCATTGAGCATCTGCAAACATGTGAGTGGAGGCTCCAGAATCAATAAGAACAGGGGAAAGAGCAGAAAGTTTACCACTTTCTTTGGTGTTCATTGCCAGCAAGAATTGCTTAAATCCCTTCAGTTCGTCCGGAGTGAACGTGATCGAAGTGTCACCCGGCATTACAGTAGCAGTGGCGGTCATGGCAGAAGGCCGAGAGCTGGGATTGTCACGATATCGAGCAGGCTTCAAATGGGGGTTTAAAACCCAGCATCTGTCTTTGGAGTGGTCATTCCGTTTGCAGTGATCGCAAAAAATTGGTTTGCGATCTTTCTGGTGAAAGGAGGCAGATGTCGGCTTTTTGGAGTAATGGGCAAGCTCCGGAGGATGAGTGAATAGGTTCCGACCTCCTTCTTCTCGCTTAATCATCATGCAAACCTCATCGAAACTTGGTAATTTTGATTGGCGCAGCATATGATACACCAAATCATTAAAAGATACATCAAGTGTGAGAGGAAGGGAGAAGACCTTATCTTCTTCCGCGCGTTCTCTGGATGTTAGGAGATCAGTTGTGGGTGGGCGAATCTCCTCGAGCTCGGCCCAGAGAGCACAGAAATCTCCTTGAAGTTTGTTAAATGCTTGTCCATTCTGCTGTAAATTGAATAATTTCTTCTTGATCTCAAAAACACGGCTAATATTGGAGAGATTACCATAAACACTCTTGAGGGAATCCCACAGAGCTTTGGCAGTGTCGTTGGCTATGAATGATTGGAGGATGGTCGAATCGAGGGAGGCCTGTAGAATAACCAGAGCTTGGCTGTCGGATTGTTTCCAAGCCGCTTGCTTTGTTTCCTCCATCTTGTTCTGTGCTGTAACAAGAGTAAGGTCGTCGCCTTCTGCAGCAACTCGTAATGGTTTCGGAGTTCTGGTGGACATGACATGATCCCACAGACCCTTGCTATGAAGGGCAGCCGTTGCCGCCTTTGTCCAATAAAAATAATTGTCTCCATTGAGAAGTATTGGGATGAGTTTACCTCCTTGTTCCATGTCGTTTTTTCGGGAAGTGCAGATCCGAATTTCACGAGGATGCCACAACCGAGAGACTTGGAGAACATATATCAAGACGTGGAGAATCAGAGACCGATGAGCTCTGATACCATGAAGATTTTGATGGAGAGATTTGATATTGATCAGAGAAGCAAAGTCCAAACCTTATTCCTACAGGTTTGAACCAGACACGATAGAATTAGGGGAGAGTTTGGTTTAGACAAAAAACTCTTTGTTCCCTTGATTTTCTGTACATCACGTTCTCTTACATATATGCAGCATATTAACTTGAAGTTAAGGTAAGTAAATAAATCAACAACTGTGAATAAGCAGATTTCCTAAATACAGAGGAAAGTTTCCTGATCTGATAGGATTCGATCTTGTATCTTGGAATGTCTTGGTTTGTTTCCTTTTCTTCATATTCGGATGTGGTCCTTGATAGATGCAGAACACGTCATGGTTCTCGTATCTGGAAGTTCTTGTTCTGTCTTTGTGTCTTCAACAGGTTCTTGGTCACTCTTCATGTCTTCAACAAATAGTTTGTATTAATATTTATTAGGATAATTTTTTAATAAATAATTAAACTTCATTAGCGAGTTTTGGGCACCAAAATTAGGTAAATAATTAAAATGATTTTTTAGTTTTAAAATTACAATTGCTTATATTAATATTTTAATGTAATTCATAATAAAACTATATTTAAATATTTAAATATTTTTATAATGAAATTTATTATTTTATATCGGCTCCCGAAAATGTTTGAGATGCCCGCGGAGATTATGAACCAAATTTAGAAAAAAAATTTATGCAGTTCATTTTGTTATATATTTGAATGTGGCACTTACAATTTATTTCAAAAAAAAATTGTTTTCTATATTTACAGAAATAAGAATTTATGAAATGTTAAAATTTTTCAAGTAATTTTCTTATATGTATACATGTGGCACTTGCAATTTCTTTCAAAAAATGTTGTTTTATGAAAAGTTTAATTTTTTTTTATTATTTTAAATAAAGAACGTCAAAACCTAATCCACGGACCACGGTGCATTTCAACACGTTGTAAACCAAAAGAGAGGACTGAGAGGTCCTTTTGTTCTCAGCCCCTTTAACCTATATACGTATCTCCTCGGTCTTGTCCTCTACTCCTCTACTCCCTTTCTCCTCCCCTTTTTTATTTTTGTAATTTTCTTTTCCGGAGAAAAAAATATCAAAAGAGAAAAAAAAAAGGTGAAAAATTTAGAAAAGCAAAGGAACAGAATGGATCCGATGGAATCCGTGGACAGCAATGGCGTCGAGACCACCGTCGTTAACTCTCATGGAGACCACGGATGGCAGAAGGTGGTCTACCCGAAGCGCCAGCGGAAGCAGAAGCCGGCGGATCAGGCGGCCAATGCAGCCTCCGCCAAGCCCCTCCCCAATGGAACCTTAGCTAATGGGGACAACGTCTTTCGCTCCCTCGAGCAGCAGGCTGAGGAGCGGCGCCGCCGGATCTTCACCGCCCAATTGGCCGCCGATGCGGCCGACGGCTCTCTTACAGCGAGATCCAAACGATCCGACGCTTACGGCGATGATGACTACGATTACGATGACAGCGACGCTGAGATCGCCGCTGGGAAGGAGAATCTGAAGGCGGACGAAACTAAGAAGCCGAAGCCCAAGAAGGAGAAGAAGCCTAAAGTCACTTTGGCCGAAGCCGCCGCCAAGATTGTCCCTGCCGATCTTGCAGCTTTCCTCTTCGAAGCCTCGGTATGGGCTTGAGTATAAATTTCGTTTCGATCCGTCCATTGAGTCGAATTATGATATATGAAGACCAATCAAGATCACTGGTTTTTGTTTATTGCCGTACAGGAATCGTATGCCGCTCAGCCGGAGATTCAGCTGATGAGATTTGCCGATTACTTTGGGAGAGCACTCTCAGGAGTAACATCTGCCCAGTTCCCGTGGGTCAAAATGCTCAAGGAGTCTCCCGTATCCAAGTTTACTGATGTGAGCAATTCCTCTTTCCATTTCTCAGGTCGTAATTTTATACTGTCTTCCCCAGACTTGTCCCATTCATCGGTCCAGCTATCTGTTTAGTTTGCTAGTTTGGTATTGGGCGAATGAATTGTTTTCTGGCTTTGAATTTGTACCTCTGATTTAATTTGCTGGACCTGGAAGTCGTGGATTGTCGTTGCTTATATTTTCACCTAAATGCTTTTACCGATTTCAGTAAAAGGGGAAGTGGAAGTCTCTTCCTTTCTCGTTCCCAACTATCTTCCCCCCTCCTTGTAGTTTTTGGCCAAATTTGCAGACTTGAAAAAGTTCCAGACAGATGATGAACTTTGATTGTGTTTTGTCTTGGTTTACTCTATATTTTCTCCTGCCGTTACTCAGGGGCACATACCTTTACATGATACACGTTTATGTTTTACTTTTTTTTGTTTCTGTGACATGGGTTGATATGGACAGATCCCACTGTCTCATATTCCTGAAGCTGTCTACAAAACATCAGTCGATTGGATCAATCAGCGCCCCCTTGAAGCCCTTGGTTCCTTTGTATTGTGGGCTTTCGACTGTATTCTTGCTGACTTGGCAGGACAACAACCCAGCACCAAGGGCGCTAAGAAGGGTGTACAGCAGACTTCTTCAAAATCTCAGGTAAAAGATTAGTTGATTGTACCATTTACTTTGCCAAGTGATCTGGATCTGTTTCGGTCTTGTTTCATCGTTGTAAAATTCCTTCCTTTTTGTACTAGATATCTTTCCATACTCTATTCTTAGAACTTTGCATGTAGTTTTTTATCGCTTTTCATTGTCTATCTGACTGAATGTCTCATCAATTACCTCTTTACTATTTGTTTCTTTCTTTCTTTCTTTCTTAATGCATAGGTTGCGATATTTGTGGCATTAGCAATGGTATTGCGTAGGAAGCCTGATGCGTTGATTAATGTATTGCCAACTCTGAGGGAGAATCCAAAGTATCGGGGGCATGATAAGCTTCCAGTTATAGTTTGGATGATGGCTCAGGTGTGTGTGAAAGTTGTTTATTTATGTGGATGAAGATCAAGATTACAAAAACTGATGCTTCCTGTGAAATATATCCTGAAATTCATATGCTTTTAACTAAAATTTTGTGAAGGCCTCCCAAGGTGATCTATCTGTAGGCTTGTACTCGTGGGCACACAACTTGTTACCAGTCGTCAGTAGCAAGAGCTGCAATCCTCAGTCCAGGGATCTGATTCTGCAGCTGGTTGAGAGGTGGGTGAAATATTTCAGGTGTGATCTCCTGTGCGTGATGATCATCTAATTGTGCAATTTTGTATTTTCTTTCAGAATTTTGTCAAACCCGAAATCCCGGACAATTCTAGTAAATGGTGCTGTCAGAAAGGGGGAACGTCTGATCCCACCTCCTTCATTTGAGATCCTAGTGCTCCTTACATTCCCTTCGTCATCTACAAGAGTGAAGGTAATATTGTGACTTTGAGACAGTACCTTGATGCATGTGGGTCAATTTTAATCACTAGTACTATGGTGTGATAAGCAGGCTACAGAGAGGTTTGAGGCTATATATCCCCTGCTTAAGGAGGTGGCTCTTGCTGGTGCTCCTGGGAGCAAGGCAATGAAACAGGTCACACAGCAAATATTCACCTTTGCTCTGAAAGCAGCTGGGGAAGGTACTCAACCGTTGTATCTCGATATCCTCGTGGAAATGTCTATTAAAATTTGTAATGTGCTGTGTTACAGGGAATGCTGAGCTATCCAAGGAAGCGGCTGCTCTTGCTATCTGGTCTCTGACTCAAAACGTTAATTGCTTCAAGCACTGGGTAAGCTGCCACTGTCTTTTTCCAATTATTTAGTTCGCCGCGCCATTCACTCACTCAAGTTCACTTACTAGTGGTTCTGCTGTGCAATGTGCATTAACAGGACAATCTCTATCATGACAACCTGGAAGCCAGTGTTGCTATTCTTAGAAGGTTGATCGATGAATGGGAGAAACATTCCCCCAATCTGACCCCAGCTGATACTCTCAAACAAACTATAAAGAACTTCAGGCAGAAGGTCTGTTACTAATATTTTCCCTTTCCTGTCCATTCACTGCGATTTCATTCTCACCTGTGATGTTTGTGATAAACCATCAGAATGAGAAAGCCCTTGCTGATGGAGGAGCTGACTCGGCTCACCAGTCCCTCTACAAAGATGCGGACAAGTGCTGCAAGGTGATTTCTGGAAGGCTATCCCGTGGCAATTGCTGTCTCAAAGCTACGGCCTTTTTCGTCGTTGCAGTGGCGGCTGCAGCTGCTCTGTCATCCAACACAGAGGCTACAGCCGAGCTGAAGAATCTGGTGGAGTCCTGGGATCTGAAGAAACTCACCGGGTCATTTGCCGCAGTGTCGTGGAACTAAGAGGAAACCGGATGATGATGAAGTAGTAGAGGTAACTTTGGGTATCATTGGGGTTAGAGAACACGCAAGCCTTTTTAGCATCAAGTGTTGAAAAGTTTTGAAAGCTGACCAAAAGTTGGGGAGTGAGGTTTCATCTTTTATAATCACACAGTCGTGGGAGATCACAGAGAAGGGATTATGAGACTGTTGCTAATTTTCTCGAGGATAATGGCGGTTTCTTTAATCTTTATTTTTTCTCGTTCCCGAGGATAATAAAATCTTTATCTGTGGATGATACCCTTTTTCCTTTTCTATTGTTGGTGTGTGGTGGCAAATTTGGCTCCAGGCGGTGTGAGGCCGAACGTGGAAATGGGGGGTATTTGCATCAGTTTGATTTGATTCGCATGAAATCGAGAAGTTTGGTATACAATGTGAAAACAGAGGGATTATTAAGGAAGAGGGGTCGGGGGGTCAGGCGTAGTCGTCGGGATCGGCGAAAGGGTACTTGAGAAAAAAGGACTTGACCTTGGAGGGGTCTTTGGGGCGTTCCCATGGATACTTGAGGGATGGGTCTCTCGGGAACTTTCTGAAGTTGAGGAAGGGCGCCCATACCAGCAGCCTGCACCCAATTCCATAATATCATATATATGTGTTGTTATGGGATGTGGATGAATGGTGGTTTTGGTCACTCACCCAGGGAAGAACATGAAGACGAACATGAACTGGAAGTACATCTCCACGAACTTCCTTCTGTACCATCTTACCCTTAACCAATTCATTATTATCGGCTGTGTATATATATAGAAAAGAGACATACGTGAGATGAGCCGAAGAAATGATAGTAACTAGTTAGGGGGGGAGGAAGGGAGGGGACTGACCGGCATAATGAGGAAGTACCAAACGGTGACGAGGCCCAAGTCGATGACAGTCCTCGTGAACTCAGGCTCGTTGTTGACTCCTGTTACCGCCCACCCTGGCTCCTCTAACTGACCAATCATTCACTTTTGTGATTCACCATGTTTTCATCGGATGTGTTTTCTATTCTTTTTTTTTTTTAAAAAAGACGATAACTTGGTACAATCCATGAATGCGTACTACCGTGGCAAAGACAGCTCCGATCTGAGCTGCCAACATGGCCGCCTTCTTTGTACCCAAGAACTCGTCGGCCTTCCCTTTCATCTTATCAATATTCTATCGTATACACAGAAAAAGGCCCACCTCTTTTACCTGAGGAATAATGGGGGAAAAAACGGTGGCTCTTGCGAGTGATTTGGGATTTACCTGAAGGAGAAGATGGGATGTAGAGATGGGTTTGTTGTGAGAAGCGACGCAGAGAGGAGCCGTGGGACGGCGAGGTCCCGACCATGGAGTTGTGACCACCGCATTCCCCAGCGAGCAGCAGCACCCTCTCATCTCTCTCTCTCTCTCTCTCTCTGTGTGTTTTTGAGGCTCCCTTATCTCTTGAGAATGGTTCTAACCAGAGGAGGTCATGCTCCCTCCTACCACTTCAGGACAAACTGGTTTGTCTTTTCTTTTGAGTTCGCTTTAACAGATAAATCTATCAACCTGCGTTTTTTCCCTCCCACATTCCACGTGGCACACCTCTCTCCCTGTAACTTCCCTTTCCTATTCTTCAATTGCGGTAACAAACCAATTGGTGCTCGTGTTTTAATTACCAGTATCTAGGGGTGAAGCCTGTTGATACCCGACATTTGGTCGTGTCTTAATCACGAGTTTTTACGAAATGGGTCCTTGGGGTGAGTAAAAATTTATCTCCGTTTGAAAATTTTAGTGGTAAAAGAATATGTAAAACATATTCTTATTTTGGGATCAAACCAAAATTTGAAGAGGACGTTAACATTTTTTTTAGGAGATGTAATTGTGAGAAAGGTTCAGTAGACTTTCGAATTATATAAAAAAAAAAATGAACGAATTTCCAAACAATATATAGCAATATTAAAAAAACTCTCAAAATCACCGTTGTGCCATTCCTCTAATAAAAAAAAAAAGAAAGGCTTAAAAGGCTGAACACCCTTCGATTTGATTAGATTCTTAATCTCGAGAATGATTCCATTCGCTGCCGGCGATAATGTGTGTAATGATTATTAACATCAGCCCCCGCTCCTCTCCTCCCCTCCATCCCATTTTCTTAATATATACATAATAATATAAACAGCCGTGGTTTATAAGTTAGTAGCGCCGTTTTCTTAGGCATGACCAGTGTTGGGACACCGAAATCTGGATACAAAACAATAAATATAAGATCTGAGATCCGTATATTCATTCATTCAACCCCTCCAAAATTAATTATTGTTTTATACACTCTGTGTATGAGCCACACCCACATGACACTTGCACTTGCTGATGATTATGCTGTCTTCATTATTCGTATCCATACATTGTAAACTGATTTGTTTCCAAGGAAAGTCCAATTTTCGATGGCTCATTATTATGTCAACAGCCTTGTATTCTTATTTATAACAACGTCACATCGTCATTGTTAATCGTTCCGTCTAATTATTAATGATTTAAAAAATTGTGGCATATAATCTTAGACCAGTCTCTTTTATTACATTATTTGGCCCTCCCTCTCGAATTCTCGACAACCTATGTTTCTTCCGAGTTCACGTTGTTCACATAGCTCGTTGTTTATCACACAATATATTAAATAATTAAAGGAAAATCCACCGTAAATTTATCACCCCTTTTCCCTTTCCTTACGAGTTTTTTTTGGTCAAACGAATAAAAGAAATAAAGTGGCACGATGAAATAAATTAAACATAAAGCAAAAGAAAAATTTGTTCACCACTTTCGTAACCCGACTTCAATTCATAGAACTAGTAAAGGAATTCGTTGTCTCCTATTTTACCACTATCAAATAAAACTAAGAATATAATTTGTTTTCCAGAAAAAGTCAGAGATAATATCCATCAAATTTTTGTATCATTAGCGAATTTTTATAGAATCCTAGAAAATAACAGAAATTGGAGAAATGTAACACGTAAAATTTAAAAAATTGTGATTAAAATCAAAATCAAAACGTATTTTCCAGTAATTTATCGGGATTAAAAACTATAGGAAAGAACATTGGGGCCTATGATGGGCCCAACCCATATTGGTATCCCAAGGTAAAGGCGGGGTAGGGGGCCTAAAAAGCCACGTGTCCAGGTCCCTTTGATTTTATTTAATTGGGAAAAAGAAATATAAAATTAAAATGAACAGAATGATTGCGTCACGAGCATTCTTTAATCACCAAAGATCATTAACTTAATTAATTCCAATTTATTCTGTCCAAAGTAAAGTATTAGCATTTCATATAAATAAATGAGGTATATATCGATATTAGAAAATAACAGATGAGGAGGAATCATTCTTTCTTGTTATATAATTAACTGGAAACAATAAATTATTATTTTCAATTGCGTCTCGATATTGAGTTGTGTTCACTAAAACATCATTATCCAAAATGATCACTTATAATTAATTGTTCATCCGTTTCACATTACTAAATCTTTTTATTTTGTCATCATAAAAAATAGAGAACACGTTCTTTTTCATTTTCAAATGTAAGGATGGGACCCACCCCGGGCCTGGCTGCCATTGTAAGACCATTCCCATTCGTCTCCTCCTCCCTCTAAATCTTTCCCAAATCCTACTTCCTCCCTACTTTTACATTCTCTCTCTAAATATCGCCGGAAAAGAAGCAGTGTTGTAAATGGCGACCAACAAGTTCGCCACTCTGATACACCGGAAAACCAACAGATTCACGCTCCTTCTCGTCTACGCTTTCCTCGAGTGGACTCTCATCTTCTTCATCCTCCTCAACTCTCTCTTCTCTTTTCTCATCCTCAGATTCGCCGATTTCTTCGGCCTCCAGCGCCCATGTCTCTTCTGCTCCACCCTCGACCGTTTCTTCCACTCCTCCGCCAGTTCTCTTTCTTACCGAGATCTCTTGTGTCACGATCATTCTCTTCAGGTTTCCAGAATCCGCTTCTGTCCCACTCATCGGAGGTTCGCGGAATCCGGGGACTTCTGCGAGGACTGCTCCTCCTCTACTGACTTACCCGAGGATTTGATCGAGCGTTGTCCTTGTTGCGGAGCTAGCGTCGAGAACAGAGCTTCGCAGCCTTGTCCTCTGATCGATCCCGATTCGGGAATTTTAGGTTTTAGCGATGATGGGAAACCGATTGGAGAAGAAATTCCCGTCGGAGTCGAGATTCCTGTTGAACAAATCCGATCCGATTTCGTTTGCACAGAAGATAGCGTACGATATAGCGATTCCCTGGAACGAGGCTTTACGAGGGAGGAAGAATCAAAGGAGAAGCTTCCTTCTGAGGACGAAAAGATGAAAGAAGACGAAAACAGTGGCAATCCAACTGTTCACCAAGCTACCGGCGAAAAAGACGAAGTTAACGATGGTGGTGATGAAAATGACGGCGAGGAAGAATTCTCGCGTTTCATTTCCAGTTTTGACTGTAATAAGGAACCTAGTTCAGTAAAGGAAGAAGAAAACGAAGCAGATTTGGTTATGGAGGTCGATATTGCCCAGAAAACGAGCGTGGCAGAATTGTCTACGGATAAACCCACTGAAGCCTCGCAGAAACACCTCGAGTTCTACATCGATGGCCAGGACTGTCATTTGATTCCGGTCGAATTCTTCAGACCAGGCGAGGAAGTTCGAGAAATTTCGGACATCAACGGTGATGTTATTCTCGATTTTGATGCCGAGGTTAATTTCTCGGTGGAGAACGGAGGATTCTCAGAGTTGAGAATCGCATTTGCTCCGCAGGATGAATCGAAGCCGGAGGATGGTGAGGCAGCTCGAGCTGCTTTTGCTTTGCTTTGCTTTGCTTGAACAAAATTTTCATCGTCGTCAAGGTTTTGGTCTGAGTTGTTGGTTGTATTGCAGATTCTTTAGCAGAAGATTTAGTGCAAATGGAGAATGACGAAGAAGCTGATGGAGAGGTTTCAATAGGCACAGAGATTCCTGATCACGAACAAATGGATGAAGCTCCCTCCCACGAAATCACTCCTGATGACGACGAAGACGATTGTGGTAATTTTTTTTATAAAAAATGCAGTAAATTAAGAAATTTCAAAGATCAAAGTTTCAAATAAACATTCTAGCAAACAATCTCGCTTTATTTGTTTTATGAAATTAAATAAAAAAACAAATGTCCTTTGGAATATGCATATGAAGAGATCCCTCGTGATGTCACTCGAGTGGAAGAGCAATCATAATCCTCTGACACTTTTTTTTTTCTATTTCTAGTATTCATACTAAAATAAAGAGGCATGAATTTTTCGTTCGGGTACTTCATTGCCAGTCGTGTGGGACTGACTGGGTATAAATGTCTATGATCCAGAGCAAGCGGAAGAAACGTTAGAGTTCAGGACAGTGGCATTCGAAACCAAAAGGCCCCTCATTAACGTCGGCATTCGGCTCGACGAAGAGAGCCATACGGAGACTCGTGGCTCAGCCGACATCCTCCACAGCCCACGGCACCCACAGTTTCACCTTGATCAAAGAGAATCGGGAGCTGAAGACTCTCTGGACGCTGAGAATGAGTCTCCCAACGGAAACTTGACCATCGAGAAGCTGAAGTCGGTATTATGGGAAGAGAGAAAGGCCCTCAATGCCTTATATGCTGAGCTGGAGGAAGAGAGAAACGCATCTGCGATTGCAGCTAATGAAACGATGGCTATGATAAATAGGTTGCAGGAAGAAAAGGCAGCAATGCAGATGGAGGCGTTGCAGTACCAGAGGATGATGGAGGAGCAATCTGAGTATGATCAAGAAGCACTGCAGCTCATGAACGAGCTCATGGTTAAACGTGAGAAGGAGAAAGGAGAGCTTGAAAAGGAGCTTGAATTGTTCAGAAAAAGAGTGGAGGAGTTCGAATCAAATGAAAAGATGGGGATGTTGAGGAGGAGGGGGAGGAGAGATTTATCAGTTGATTCATATAAAAATGGTGATTTATGCGAGAATGGCGGACACGATAACGACAGAACAGATGAGAACGGCGATTCAGATGACCGATATGGAGTTATTGAGATCGAGAGCACACCAGCTGATGCAGTGCTTTGTCTTGAGGAATGTTCGGTTGATTTTGAGAGAGAGAGGCTTTCAATTCTCGGGCGGCTGAAAGTTCTAGAAGAGAAACTCTCTACTCTGAATGACGAAGAGGATGATGGGGACGAGATTTTCGAGGATGTTAAATTAGTTGAAAATGGCCATGTCGGGGAAAACATGCACTTCCATACCAAGGAGGTGAATGGGAAGCACAAGGTTCTCAAGTCAAAGAGGTTACTACCGCTATTTGACGCGGTAGAGGCAGAGATGGAAAATGGGTTATCTAACGGAAACCACCATGAGAACGGGGTTGATCAGTCAGAGAATGGTGGGATTGCCATTGATGAGGAAATTGACGAGCTGTATGAGAGGCTGGAAGCTCTAGAAGCAGACAGAGAATTCGTGAGGCACTGTGTTGGGTCGTTAAGAAAAGGGGATAAAGGGGTTTATCTCCTCCAACAAATTCTGCAGCATCTCCGTGATCTGAGGAATGTGGAGCTTCAAGAGAGAAGTTCAGGAGACATGGTTCTATGATGAGCTGACACTGAACAATTGGACAGGTAAATGCTGTTTTTTCCCCTTTCCCCGTGTGTTCATGAGTGTGAATAGACGATTTCACACCAGAAATTCCAGTTTTATATTATATGCCGTCCTTGTTTGACAGTTCAGCGATTAGCCTGTGTGGCTTGACAGCGAAGAAACGAGGTCTGGAGCAAGAGACGCCAGAAGAAAAAAAAGGTCACGGCGCAGACAGAATATGGTCGGGAGGGAAGGCAGTTTGAAGCTAATGGTAGGTATGGTGAGAATGTCTGGACACAAAAGTCTGAAGGAGGGATCTTTTGTCTTCTTCTTGCCTTTTTTGTTTTTGAATAAAAATAAGTGGAGGGTCTGAGAGTATCATTTCATCCTTTTTCTTCCCGGGGGGAGGAGTGAAAAAAGGTGGAATGATGAGAGTGAGTGAATGAATGTGCGAGTGTAGTCAGAGGTGTGAGCGAAGCCAAAGATTATATATATATATATATATATATATATATATATATATATATATATATATTGATGTTGAGGCATAGCTGGAAAAGGATCCAGCATTTGAGATTCCAGCTGCCAAGGTACATATAATATACACATATGCATATGGTAGTACATTTAGGAACCTCTTGTCTTTGTCTTGGGGGTAATTCTTTTTTTTTTATTATAAAAAGTTTAGACTTGAAGAGGCCGAAGAAGAAGGAAGGGGTAAGTAACCTCAGGTCTTCAATTTTGATTGCTCTTGTTGTTCTTGTTGTTGGGTTCGACCACTGCAATCGTGTGGGGTTTGGTTATGGAAATATGTTTTTTTTTTTTTTGTACAATTGCTCTGTATGCCTGTTTTACTCCAATCTGTTCTTTATTATAGATTGCTATTGTTATATCATTTGCTCATTTTAGATTATAGCATGGACTTTCCTCTCCACTGCGTGCAAACAATTCTTTAATGTCATTTAACCGAAAGCAACATAAGAAATGAGTATACTGTAGATCCAGATCTAGTTTCAATATTCACGATTATATATAACCTCTTTATATAGTCAATTTGGATGCCATATTTATAACTCAGCCAACAAATCCCAAACTCTGCTCATCACCCGTCATCCAGTATGGTTAATACCGGCCGTGTAGTCACCTGCACTACATGCAAGTAGTTTATTACTACTATTTGATAGTCTTATCAAGAAATATACTTGGTTTATAGCTATGACTATCTGTCTAGAAAACGAGGGAAGAGAAGCATCCTATAATATTACCCGTTGAAAATATGGGGGACTTGAAATAAATAAAAGTTGATGTAAGCAGCAAAACAAGGATGAGACTTTGACTTCGATCCTCGTGGTAGTATTAGTGTGTTATTATATTCACACGGTGGCTCATATTGACTTTCTCTCGCGCATGTTTTCCCGTCATTGTTTTGTTTAAACAAGACGCCTTTTCTCTTGCTCGCCAATTTTACGTTTCCACCGTTCTTACCTCAGAGACGTGGCTCGACCAAACCGAATCGAACGCTGGCGATTTAATTTAAAGTTGCCAAATTTCCACTTCCCCATTTGACTTTTGTTCCTGGGTTTCCATCTCCCTTCCTCCCGATTTCCAAGGGTGTTTGCTCGTAATGTCATCCAGAGGCTGATTAGGCTGCCGAAATCTCACTTCTTTACTTGAATCTTGTCCGGGCTTTTCTTTATTTTTGCCGATTTCCATGGGAGTGTCTCTGAGAATTCTATATCCATGAATTTCATCCAAGGTCTCATCAAACCCTTCAAGCGCGGCTCTAGCAGAGGTAAAGAAGTTTAATTCTCTCAAATTTTATGCAGAATCTTAGGGTTTTGAGTTCTTCTGACGTTTTTTGTGCGATGGGTGGACGCTAGAAGGTGTCGGAGAAGACGATCTCGAGCGAATTGCCGCTCTGGAGCAGAAGGTGTTCCCATTTCAGGTCTTGGTCTCTGCTACGAAGAATTTCCACCCCAACCACAAACTCGGCGAAGGTGGATTTGGACCAGTCTACAAGGTAGCTCTGCCCTGCCCTTTTTAGCTGACTAATGAGGAAGAACACGGGTTCTTGTTCGGTTTTCCAGAAACCTCGTTTTCATGTTTCTTTTCTTTAGCTCGTGGTTTGCGCTCAAAAAGTATTGTTTCCTTGCTTTCCCATTTTACATTTGTTAGCTTGGCTGGCTGGTGAGTGAGAATTGCGTTTGTATAGGGAAGGCTATCTGATGGGAGGGAGATAGCTGTGAAGAAGTTATCTCAGTCCTCGAGACAGGGAAAAAACGAGTTTGTGAATGAAGCCAAGTTACTTGCCAAGGTTCAGCATCGCAATGTCGTGAATCTTGTGGGTTATTGTACCCACGGAGACGATAAACTCTTGGTCTACGAGTACGTCTCAAATGAGAGCCTCGACAAGGTTCTATTCAGTAAGTTGCTGAGCTCTCAGTTCTCGATGGTTTTGTCTAGTTTAATCATCAGTTCCATTGTTTGATTTGCTTCTGATTAAGCAAGTGCTAGACTTTGGATTGAGATTGGTTTGCACATTCATCAGGTTGCTTTGTAATGCTCTCTGGGGCCTGATGAGTTCAATCTATTGGTTCCTTTGGGATTTATTGGTAGGCATCAATCCTTTTAGTTCTTCATGGTCAACCTAGTTATCGTCCATTGAGGAGCCTATCCTCTTTTTTTTTTTTTTTGTTAATACCTTAGTCAGGTGAGAAGATCAAGCTTCTCAAAGCTTTAACTAATCTATTGCGTTCTTCTCCAGCTTTTCTATTTGTCCTTCAAATCGAACCATCTTTCTCGTTGGTTTTCCTTTTTGTTTTAACTGATATGATATTGCGGCGTGAGTGTTCTCCTTTTAATTCTAAGGTAGTGGTGGGTGACGGTTTTGGCGCAATCATAACCTGAATCTGTCGCCAGTCTGAGCCTAAGTTGTTCATCGTATTCACCCGAACCGTCAGGATGGTGTAAAATAGTTACACATACTCTTTTTTTTGGTCAAAAGCATACTCTTCCATATGAGGAAACCTCATTTCAGAAAGGACCAGTTCTAGCAAAACTTATTTTCCTAGAACTTTCATTTTGGCCACCTACAAGGCTTGTGAACCTGTGCCCATCAAAGCTGACCAAGAAATATTCTTACCTTTAAGACTTGCTTTCGATTTTTTCTATTTTCTGCTTCTTGTTTGAGCATCAAACCCTGTGACAGGGGCAGCTACCAAGAATTTGACTTAACTTTTCTTAAGCAAACAGCACTACAGACAGTCGTTGGTCTGACAACAAGCTTTCTATCTCTTGTTGGGTTAATTTCGTATGCTTACTGATAGTTTGGTAGAAAACTTCTCTGAGAAAGCCTCATAAATTCTTATAGTCAAAGATAGGTTATTTTTTGTGAACAAAGCGAACCGGTTTGGCACATAAATGTATTTACACTGCTCTTGCTCCGTGTGTTTTCTATGCAGAATCCAACAGAAGAGCAGAGCTAGACTGGAAGCATAGGCTTGAGATCATAACTGGTGTTGCTCGTGGACTGCTTTATCTTCACGAAGATGCACCCAACTGCATCATCCACAGAGACATCAAGGCTGGCAATATTCTGCTTGATGATAAATGGGTTCCAAAGATTGCAGATTTTGGGATGGCCCGGCTCTTCCCTGAAGACAGAACACATGTCAACACTCGTGTGGCTGGCACCAAGTAAGTTCCCTATGGTTATCTGCCCTTAAAAGCTTATGGTGTTTGTCCTTTGAAAGTACCCTTCCAATAGCACCAATTGTCCTGTTTAAGGTATTCATGTCAGCTCACACAAAAGCTGACTAACCTTTTTTCCCCCCTTTTCTGTAAAGAAATGACGTCGGTGCAAATGGGCACCTCTGCATTTATGGACATCGAGCAGCTTCTGTGGAATGTACTGATTTGATTGAATTTGAACTGTAGTTGTCACAAATTGCAGCCTTTAGTTTGTGGATGTTTATTGGGTTGGAATGAAAAGCTAACTGCATTTGTGGATGGAAACACAGTGGGTATATGGCGCCGGAGTATGTGATGCATGGGGTGCTATCAGTGAAGGCGGACATATTCAGCTTTGGGGTTTTGGTACTGGAGCTGATCAGCGGACAGAAGAACTCCAGTTTTAGTTTGAGGCACCCGGATCAGACATTGCTTGAATGGGTAAGGCCGCAATCCGATCTTGTCCAGACTCCAGTTAATAAAAAGCCTTGCAAAAGATATTTGTTTAATGATTGGGAGCAGTCGTATAGGCTGTACAAGAAAGGAAGGAGCATGGAGATGGTGGATCCTGCCATGGCAGCATCGGTGGATGCAGACCAACTCCAACTATGCGTTCAGATTGGTCTGCTGTGTGCACAGGGCGATCCCCTTCAACGGCCCAACATGAGACGCATTGCTATGATCCTCTCAAGGAGAGCAGGTCATCTGGAAGAACCCTCACGGCCAGTCGTCCTCAACCGGCGGTCCCATCACCACCAGACGGCTGGAACGTCCTCTGCATCCACCACCACCACCCGTTCAAGTTTGGATTCTTCTTTCGGATCTAATTCCAACACAAACACAAACACAGTCACGGCGGGCAGAGGTACTCCCACTTGGTCTCCCTCTCCTCACACCGTTAGCTCCGACTCTCGTGGGAAACGCCCTCTCTGGAGTTATTGATCCACTTTTATACCGACGTATATGTGTGCTAGTTTGTAAATTAGCAGAAGGCTAGTGATTATATATATTGTTTCATTTTATTAAATCTTGGAGGATTCGTCGTCTCGAGAAAAGAAAAAGATTTATTTGTTCGTTGCATAACAACATGAACCCTATTTGTTATTTTGTCGTGTTTTTGAACCCTTGTGCGTGTCAGTAGCATGGTTGTGGAGTCGTGAGAGTATCTCCCTGACAGCGACCTCCAACCATTAAAATGTTTTCTAAACGCCAACCAATCAGCATTCCCATAGAAGAATATTCCATTGCTTTCATGGGATATTATTAGCATGAAAACAATATTAATGAACAACTTCCACACTGGTTTGGGGGTTCTGAATTTGGGCCGCAGTTTCATCTTAACCCAACCAAAATAAATTAACCAACGGCCGAGACGGAGCCACACGCGTCACCCTCTCGTTTGGCCTCTCCCACCACCATCCATTCCGTCTCTCTCTCGTTCTCTTTATCAACGCTCACTCTCCCTCTTCCTCTTCCTCTTCTCGAGTCCCATCGTCCTATTCCCCGACAACTACAGACATGGTTTCCTTCGAGGTCTCCCGCGTTCCCACCTCTCCCTTCGATGGCCAGAAACCGGGCACCTCTGGCCTCCGCAAGAAGGTTTTTCCATTCCCTTCTTTTTCTTCTCTTTTTGTCCATCTGGATCCGATTCCATCTTCCTCTGTCGGATCTTTGGCCAGATCCATCATGCATAGCTGCTGTCTTTTGTTTTTCCTCTTTCGCCGATCCGATCTCTCTGTTTGTTTGGTTGGTTTTTGTTTAAAATATGTTTGATCTTCCGGACCGATTCTCATGCGAGCTCAATCATGTGCTTTGACTCGATTTACGCATTGATCCGTGTTTAGACAGACGAACGATAAACGAAATTGTGAAAACCATTCTCCTCATTTTCCTCTTTAGATGTTGGAGTCTTGACATGTTATTCTCGCTTCGGGAAATTGTTTTGCCGGCTCGTATGGTAGATTTGGACATATGTTTCGGACGCTGAATGTACGAACGCCACATTCATATAATAGATAGATCTACTCACTTCTTCACCATCTGAATGGATGTGGCGCCATAGTGATGGCATGGCCTAGTGCCTTTTTATATAACAGCTTTGTGTCTTTTTTTTTCCCTCTTTCAATGGATGGCACTCTTCAGGCTTGCGGGATCTGTTATACCTATGTGGAGTGCTGTTAAGTCACGATGCGATCTTGTTATTTTGGCTAGTTTTGGGTTCTGGTCATTGTGGTCAGAGAGAGTACGCGATTGATCACTTACTCTTATAGATCCAGGCTCCATTTTATATAAGAACTGTAATCATGAAACTAGAGAAAGCTCAGTAATCAATTTGATATTTATTCTGTATAACAATTTTCGGTAAAACCATTTACCGTGGGGTCTGAGGTCGCGGGTTCGAATCCATCTTTCTACATTAAAATGTAGGGGTAAGGTGGCTTAGTATATTCCCTTCCCAGTATCCCTACTAGATGGGGATACGAACTGTAATCATGAAACTAGAGAAAGCTCAGTAATCAATTTGATATTTATTCTGTATAACAATTTTCGGGACGGACTCTATCGTTACCTTCCTCCTACTTGGTAGGAAATTACTGCGCCGACAAATTGAATCTCTTTAATCATTGATCAATTCTATCGTGGTGTGACTTGACAGGTAAAAGTGTTCATGCAACCCCATTACCTGCAAAATTTTGTCCAGGCTACATTCATTGCTCTTACTCCAGAGAATGTCAAAGGTAGGATTTCTCATAACCAACTTGGTTGACTGTTGCTCGTGTGGTGGACATTTCTTAATTTAACTGTGCCGGGCAGACATCTGCACTGTTCCATATAAGCCTGAGTACTTCTTTACATGTGCAGGTGCAACACTTGTCGTTTCTGGTGATGGTCGTTATTTCTCAAAGGACGCTATTCAGGTATGTCGTCTGAATTTGTGTGAATCAAGTGCTGTGTGCCTTCCTTAGCATAAGAATATGAATTCAATACTCCCGCAATTACTCTTTACATGACTCATCTGCTTGCATTACTTTTCAAGGAATTCCGTGAATCATGCACGCATTATAATTACATTGCTATATTTGCTCGTGAATGCTAAATGATCGAATCTGCTAGCAATTAGAAAAATCTGCAAAAAAGTTAATTAACCTTTTGATTGACAAATCTTGCTACTATTTCATGCCTCATTTTCGTGTTTTTTTCTGGTTTTACCTCTACATCAGAACAACAAAGAGAACTAGAGTTTTAAACAAATTTGTTCCATTTGTCTTTGACTATAATCCTTCCTTCTTTTTCTTTCGGATTGTTTGGTAGTTTCTCAATTAATTTTATCGACCTGTTGTTACATAAAGAACCGTTTCTTTCTTTCTTGCTAAAAAGAATCTGTTTTTCTTCATTCCGGATAAAGATGGTTTTTGAGCCGCATAAACTATACTATTTGCTTTCGTGACAGATCATAATTAAGATGGCAGCTGCTAATGGTGCAAGACGTGTATGGGTTGGTCAGAATGGATTGCTATCAACCCCAGCCGTATCAGCTGTGATACGTGAAAGAGTGGGCGCTGATGTGAGATATCTTTCCTTGCGCACATGCTTTGTGTGATTATTGGATTTCTTCTCTTGGTTACTGTACAAGGTCACGCAATGAGCACAAAAAGCAATTATGATCATAAGAATCTAATCAGGTCTCCTATTTCAGGGATCCAAAGCAACGGGAGCATTTATATTAACAGCAAGTCACAATCCTGGTGGCCCTACTGAGGTCAACTCTGTTCTTGAATCACGTTCTGTCGCTGTCTGTTTTTTTCAAACTTAATTGTTCTGTTAGTACCATGTTTGGTTCTTCTTTCAATCTCGTGTGTTTAGCTCTACAAGACTAAAACTTCATCTCATGCTTTCTGCTTCAGGACTTCGGAATTAAATACAATATGGGAAATGGTGGACCTGCTCCTGAGTCAATCACCGATAAGATCTACGAGAATACAAAAACAATCAACGAGTACCTTATAGCTGAAGATCTACCCAATGTAATTAACACATTCTGAATGATCCTCTCATTTTCCCATCTTCTGTGTTTTAGTTAGTCATAGCCTTTTTTGGTCTTCATGATTGAATGCGATAGGTCGATATTTCTGTTGTTGGTCTAACCAGCTTTGAGGGACCAGAAGGGAAATTTGATGTTGATGTTTTTGATTCTGCGGATGACTATGTGAATCTAATGAAGTAAGTCTCTCTCTGCTCATTGCATTTAAGAGAATGCATCATAGTATGGATCCCTCTGTGGTCTAACCAACTTTGAGAATGCAGCAGGCTCTGCCTCCCCCTCTGTGGTCCATGTGAAAATCTAACTTTTTCTCATCTTTTCAGGTCAATATTTGACTTTGACTCTATCCGGAAACTGCTTTCGTCTCCAAAATTTACATTCTGGTATGGAACTTACTATTGTTCTCGACCTTTCATTTACTTTTAAGTACTTTTTGTTACATATCACCTATCTTTTGAATGTCTTATTTCATTTTGGTCTATGAAGCTACGATGCATTACATGGAGTTGCTGGAGCTTATGCACACCGCATCTTTGTAGAGGAACTTGGTGCTCAAGAAAGTTCATTATTGAATTGCACACCAAAGGTATCGTTTTTGTCTATCAGGGAATAATATTCTTGAATCCGTGAAACTCTTCATTTATGATGATGCAACATTGTACAGGAAGACTTTGGAGGAGGGCATCCGGATCCCAATCTGACCTATGCTAAGGAGCTCGTGGAACGCATGGGATTGGGTAAATCTGATACTGGAGTTGAGCCTCCGGAGTTTGGTGCTGCTGCTGACGGTGATGCGGATCGTAACATGATCCTTGGAAAAAGGTAGCTTATAATTGTTGTTTTACGAGAGAGCACGGGCATGAAATAGGTACACAGGATCATTTTCACCCAAAAAATGTTTTTCTTCTTAGGTTCTTCGTTACCCCTTCGGATTCTGTTGCCATAATCGCTGCCAATGCTGTTGGGGCCATACCATACTTCAGCTCTGGTTTAAAAGGTGTTGCAAGGTATATATATTTTTAGTTGTTTTGATCATAAATTCAAAATGCTGGACCTGAATGTTACACTGCTTTGGGAAATTAGTATTATCTTCTCTTCTCATTAAAATCTCGGTTTTCATTTCTTATTTTAGGAGCATGCCGACCTCAGCTGCCCTTGATGTTGTTGCCAAAAGCTTGAACTTGAAATTCTTTGAGGTACTTATATGGCCATAGAACTGCTCTCTAGCTTCTCTTCCTTGCATTATCATAACTCATTTCTTTAGTACAATTATATACCAGGTTCCGACAGGTTGGAAATTTTTTGGTAATCTGATGGATGCCGGGATGTGCTCGGTCTGTGGTGAAGAAAGTTTCGGAACTGGTTAGCGTCTATTGTTAGAATCTCCCGTTTGTTAAAAATATAATTCAGTGCCTACCGGATTCTCAAAGAATTTTTTCACAGGATCGGATCATATCCGTGAGAAAGATGGGATCTGGGCTGTTCTTGCTTGGCTCTCCATCCTTGCTCACAGAAACAAGGAAAACCTTGGCGGAGACTCAAAGCTAGTATCAGTTGAAGATATCGTCCGGCAGCACTGGGCTACCTATGGCCGACACTATTACACTCGATACGACTATGAGGTAACATTCGTTAACTTTCATTATCAAGTTGTGTACTGCACTAAAGAACAGTAAAGACCCTTACCAATTTCAAATATGTATCCGAAGAATGTGGACGCAGCTGCAGCTAAGGAACTCATGGCATACTTGGTCAAATTGCAATCATCTCTCCCTGAAGTCCACGAGTACGCCCTCTTCTGCTTACTCAAGTCCTTTCCTTTTTTAGTGACAACTTATCAGTCAGTCTTCTTACTCTTTGATTTTCTATTTCTTTATTCAGAATTGTGAAGGGAATTCGTTCAGATGTGGCAAATGTCTCCCAAGCTGATGAATTTGAATACAAGGATCCAGTTGATGGTTCCATCTCAAAGCACCAGGGCATCCGCTACTTGTTCGAGGATGGATCACGGCTTGTAAGATATCGTTTTTTTCCGCATGAGGTTCTTTTGAAATTGTAGATTGAGCAAAGTGATATAAACAAAGTCCATGCATTACTGAGCCCCTATCAGTTGGCAGACATAGGATCATAACTCTAGGGCTATTCTTGATCTTCAAAACCATTGAAAGTGTCATATCTTGATATATATACAAAACAAACTAATCCCTCTGGTTGTACCGAAAACTGTCTGAAGGTTTTCCGTCTATCCGGAACCGGGTCGGAAGGAGCAACCATCCGACTCTACATTGAACAGTACGAGAAGGATGCCTCAAAAATTGGCCGAGATTCGCAGGAAGCTCTCGCTCCACTGGTCAGACTCACCTTGAAAGTTTTAAATACAGAATGTCTCCTCTTATTTGTATCCTGGTTTAGTAAATAAAAAAGGTGATCGTCAATCTCTGAATTGGTGTTGCTTTGGATCGGACAGGTGGATGTGGCTCTGAAGCTTTCGAAGATGCAGGAGTTCACCGGACGATCAGCCCCCACCGTCATTACATAGAACAGTATTTGAGACAGATGCCCAAACTGAGTTATCTCTCTCGCTCTCTCTAAGTACTTTCCTGTTCCGACTTCCCTACTTCTAAATAATAATAGCTTCAGAGAGAGACAGCAGTTTCGACTGCTTCAACAGTTTCCTGAGTTGTCAGGTTTCACTTGTGTGGTTTCCGAGGCTTTCTTCTTATTTTCCTCTTCTTATCATATGTGTCGAGTTTTTGTCATGTCTGTAAGGGAAGTCGTCTTTTGAGTTTGTTTATGTGTTATGCGGTTGCTAAGATGGTGTTAGCCTACCGAGAAGAGTTATAACTTATATATTCAGTAGCATGTGCAAACGCAGGGTGCAGTAAGATTGTCTCGTAGTTATAATGCCGAAAAAAGACAGCCCAGAAGTTAGGAACAGCAGCAGCCTTGGTGTGGAAAAGAACGTACATCCAACTTTTAGAGCGTCTGATAAAACGTCACTGTCAACTCGTGTTTCAGATGTTTGGCCACCACCACCTACGATGACCGGTAAACTAAGTAGGGTTTGGGCTGTAAAAGGCTCTAATCAGGTCGCCACTAGCCAACTTCCTTGTCCTCAAGGTTCCACTGCTGCCTACTATCTCACCTTTTTCTTTTTTCCCATTCAAAAGATGTTCAATGTGTGTTGCATGTAAAATCCAATCTTGAGAAACTCCCAGCCGTCACTACTAAAAGGCTTCGTTTATGAAACATAAGAATAAAATTAAGAATTAATAGGAGCACCTCCACCTAGCCGAACCAGAATCATATTCATATGTAACTGGGGACAATAGTTTAATTAAGAGACATTTAATATATAAATGGGTCCGCCCTTGCCTTCACCTTGACCTAGAGATGTTAGTGGAGCCGTAATTCTCCGGCCGACTTCCATTTGAGGAAACCCCCCCCCACACAAGTAAATTTCCTCGTCACCATAAAAGCATTACCCTCTATTCCTTTTTAAGTATATGATTTTGCGATTCTTCTTCTAGTGTGTGTGATAAGTGTTATCCGTTTCACAATACATGTCGTTTTAAATTTTTTCACAGTTTTTAAGGAAATATTAAAAAAATCACATATACCTTTATTAAATTATATTCTCATTAATAATTTATGCAGTTGGGTATTTATAATTAAGGATAAAATTAGAAATTTTCTTAAAAAATCACTTGGAAAATCTAAAACGACATCTATTAAGAAACAAAAAATATTTACCCAAACGACAACTAATGAGAAAAGAAACGAGTATAATATTTTTGTCGCATTGCGTATGACACGATGGATAGGTTTAGTCAAGCTGTTGTCGTTGTTATGAACCCAAACCCATTAATTAAAAAAGGGTAAAGAAAGTTTTTTTCTTTACAGGAAAGAGAGATTATTGCTTTAGACCACACGAAACTCTTGTGAACCTCTGGCTCCGATTTTGATGTCTACTTAACTCTTTCTCTCGGGGGACGGTTGGTGGATTTCACATCAGGACTTGCCCTCGGGACATGACACCTACGGCTCTCTACCGGAAGTTTTGGCGCCTCCCAGACATTACACAGTTTGCATCTGCTCTTACCATCACACTTAGCTAACCTATCCGAGAGATTCTCCGTAATTTTTAAAATGAAAGACTTAAGACCCGGGTGATGATTTTCCAATGTATGTGTACATGTTGCGAATAAATAATCACCAGTTTGTATATGTGCTGGAAAGAAACATCATTATTTTGTTGCTATTTTGATTTAACAAAAAAACATTTGTTAAACTAATTGTCTTGATTCTAATTTATTTCGTCACATGTATTAGTTTCTATGAAATGTTATTACATTTTTTCCAGGTGATGAACATACACATATGTTTAGTTAAAAATGGACATGTTTTCTTTGTAAACCATCAAATGCTCTCATAGATAGTCTCCATCATTCACCCAATTTTTTTTTTTAAAATCACACGTTATTTCCTGCATTCTTACGTGTGAATGTGTGTCCGATAAAGGAAGATGTATTAATTGTGCATGTCTAATATATCATCCTTACGATTTTTGATTCTTTACCCACCTCTCTCTCTATATATATATATACATGTGTCATCAACTGTACATATATCAGCAATCTCCCTCCCCTCTCTGTCTTTAACATTAATCTCCAATATTCAAAGAAAGAAATCGTTCGATTTCTTGTATCTACAATAACCATATGGATCAGAAGCTCATACGGTTTTTGCTCATCCAATATTTTACAATAAGCGTATACTTGGAATTTACGTCACACTGCCACGCCCACATGACAACTTCATGCAAACAAACCCCATATCCAGAGGTGTGCGAACACTACGTGGGCCCACCTCCTCAAACCCTAGACGGAACCGATGGGCTCACTTTCCACGACCTCTCGATCAAGTCTACCATTGACCTGACCAAGCAGCTTCACCGGCTCGTCTCCGACTCCAAACGACGTCGCTTCCTCAGCAAGTGTGCCACGTCAGCCTTGTTCGACTGCTTGGAGCTCTACCGGGACACCTTGCTCCAACTCAATCGCTCCACGAATCGTCATTTCCCGTCTTCTATGGACATCCAAACTTCGTTAAGCGCAGCTATTGCAAACCAAGAAACCTGCAAAAACGGATTCTTTGATTTTAATTTGACGTCTTACTCTACGTATTTTCCGTTAGAAATGCATCGTAACCTGTCAAAGTCACTGAGCAACTCCTTAGCCGTCACCAAAGCTGCAGCTGACGAGTCCTCCGCCGCTGCCTTCACTGAGTTCAACAAACAAGGCCACTTCGGTGGCAGCGGCCGCAGATTATTACTCTCGGGCGAAAAATTTCCGTTGTGGGTTTCATATTCTGATCGGAAGCTACTGGAAAGTTTGGAAACAACGGCCAAAGCCGATCTTGTGGTGGCTAAGGATGGATCCGGTCACTACACGAGTGTCTCGAAGGCTGTTGAGGCGGCGATGAGGCTCCATCGTCAAGAAAAAAGCGGGAACAGGTTTGTGATATACGTGAAAGCCGGTATTTACAATGAAAACATAGAGATAAAGAGATCAATGAAGAACCTGATGGTTGTCGGCGACGGTATCGATTCTACCGTCATCACAGGCAATAGGAATGTTAGAGATGGCACGACGACGTTTCAGTCTGCAACTTTTGGTACGTTTAAATTAGTATTCTAAAATCAGATTATAAGGCCAATAAGCTAAGTAACATAAAAAAGCGAAAGAAATCACATGTGTTCATTTGGGTGCAGCTGTTACCGGAGAAGGATTCATCGGGAGAGATATAACATTCGAGAACACGGCGGGTCCGACTAAACACCAGGCGGTGGCGCTCCGTTCAGGCTCTGACTTCTCTGTATTCTATAGATGCTCTTTCAAAGGGTATCAGGATACACTTTACATCCACTCCAACCGCCAGTTCTACCGCAACTGCGACATCTACGGCACTATCGATTTTATATTTGGGGACGCAGCCGCAGTCCTCCAGAGGTGCAACATATTCGTTCGACGTCCCATGAGCGGCCAGAAGAACACAGTCACTGCCCATGCCCGCAAGGACCCAAACGAGAACACGGGGATTGTCATCCACGACTCCATAGTCACTGCAGCGGAGGATGGGACGGCTGAGACATACCTGGGGCGGCCGTGGAGGATGTACTCAAGGACTGTCTTCATGAAGTGCTTCCTCGGTGGTGTGGTGAGTCCGGTGGGGTGGTTGGAATGGAGCGGAGACTTTGCTCTCTCCACTCTCTATTACGGAGAGTACATGAACTCCGGCCCCGGAGCTAACATCTCCGACAGAGTGAAGTGGCCTGGATTCCAAGTCTTGATGACGGCGTCCGAGGCCTCCAAATTCACGGTGGGTAATTTCTTGGCCGGGAACTCTTGGATTCCAGCCGCCGGAGTGCCGTTCGACTACGGCCTTTGACCTCACGCCGCTGTCCTTCGCGTTTCTTTTTTTTTTATTTGTTTGTGCGTATTACTTAAGACACTTTGTACTATGTTGCAAGTTTTTTTTTTTACCATTAGAGAAATATTAAATCAAATTTAGTAAAAATATATATGTTGGGATTCTATTCTAATCATTGGACTGAATGTAGAAAAAATAAAAATCTTGGTTTTGGTTTACGATAGGGAAAATCCAGTATTTTCCTGTCAGAAAAATAACTACGTGATGAATATGAAGAATTGTAAACAGTAGGACAATTATATGGTTATATTGGCAAAATATTGTAACCGACTAATATCAAGTGTTGTCTTGTATCAATATCCTTTTTCTATAAATAAAATGTAATTTTATTAGAAAAAAGTAAATATCATTTTTGTGATCGTTTTTCCATGCTAAGCAAATTGGCTGGAGAGAGCAGTGGTGAGTTGTCCATCCCGTCGGTCCACTCTCGGTTTTGTCATGTCATGCGGGTATGGGCGTTGAACCAACCGACGAGACTTGCTGTGCCAACACTCATAACTAACGATATGGACTTTGCTATATGAATGGGCTCAATCCAAAGCCTAAACCCAATATGCTGTACCCATTAGAAATCAAATATTTTGTTTCAAAAGCGACTTTTTTATATCGAACATATATAAATATAATTGATTTAGGATGTTAAGGTGGCTTTTCTTTGACCACATTGAAAAAAAAAAATTACAATCGACGATAATCAGTAAAAATTGTTGGTTTCAAACTAATTGATTGTTGTTTCTCTCCCCCTCTTGGCAGCTAAAGGGAATGAATGTTTGGGTATATTGATATCGTTTTTAATTTTTTTTTTTTGTATCTCTTAAAATTAAAGGCTATATATATTTTAATCTGTGGTCATCCAAACTTGGCATAAGTGGTTTTGTTATTAAAAAAAAAAAACAAGATGAATTTTAAATTTTGCTGAGGACACGTGTCGGAATAAGAGCCATAACAGCGAGAAAATGGGCCCATGGATTGCGATGAGAAGCAGAAGACCGACCGAAGTTTCAGTGGCTCGTGAACCCTTTTTTTTATCATTTAAATTATTTAATAATGGGTTTGTTTGAAGTCATCGAGATGATGAGCCATTTGTGGTTTCAGCACAAATCCCCGCTTTTCTGTCATTTGTCCTTTTCCCCCCCACACCCTTAACATATAAACCACCCATCGTCGTCTGTGATCTTTTTTTCTTTTACTTTAATTACTTGCATATATATATATATATATAGGAAAAATCACAAATAAAAACTTGTACCCTTCGACAAAAAAATATTATATTCTTTTATTATAAAAAACTCTATACTTATATTTATTCGTCGAAATATACTTGTACTCTTCAAATATCAGATAAAAAAATTTTATAATTTTTTTATTACCAAATAGACTCTATACTTATATTTATTCATCAAAATATACTTGTATTTTATAAATTCTATCAAATAAGTCCATAAACGTAAACACAAAAAAAAATACCGTAAAAAATATGTCCAAACTTAACTCAACCGATATATATCTGAACCGAATCGAATCGGTTAAAATAATATATTAGATTGGATATGAATATTTGAAATCTGAAATAACCAAATTCGAAATAACCGAATTCGAAATAACTGTAAAATAAATAAATCGATTTCGAATTAACTGTAACCGAATATAACCATTTATCTACCTATATATCATCAATTAATATCCAATATATTCTAAATTTAATTAGAAAAATTAATATAATGATACTGGATTCACTCAAATTTAAAATATTCATATCCAATCTGGTATATTATTTTAATCGATTCGATTCGGTTCGGGTATATATCGGTTGGGTTAGGTTCAGACGGATTTGTTATCGTATTTTTTTTTGCGTTTACATTTATGAGCTTATTTGCTAAAATTTATAAAGTATAGCTATATTTCTGCGAATAAATATAAGTATAGAGTTTACTTGATTATAAAAAAAAATATAGGATTCTTTTATCTGACATTTTGAAGAGTACATGTATATTTCGACAGATAAATATAATTATAGGATTTTTTTATATTAAAAAAATATAGGATTTTTTTGTCTGACATACAATGTAGAATTTTTTGGGCGATTTTCCCAAATTTTTAATATGACTATTTTGTAAGGTGGAAAATTTTCACCCATTTTTTTTACGAGAATGTAATGATCGACATTCTAAAACACCACAGACGATTGTGGCATCCTGCAAACAAACAAAAACAGCTGTTGCATATTATTGTAATATGTTAGAGATGAATTATTATATCATAACTTAACGTTGTATTCAGTAAGATGCACGTGAAACTCAAAGATGTAAATACTATATCGCGCGGGGTTTATTTATTTTTGTAAGAGTAGGAATTGTAACGATAAAATTGTGCAAACAGAAATATATATATATATATATATATATATATGATGTCGTGTCGTTATAAACAAATCAAATGGGTCGTCAATTCAATTCAAAGTGTCACGGGTCGTTGTTTCCCAGTTTAAGTTTTAGTCTGCTTCTCGTGTCCTCTCTCCTAACTTTGTCTTCATCGGACCATTTCTGTTAGTTCGCAATCATTTTTCTCCCAATATTTGTTTCAGTTTAACTAATAATGAAAACCGTAGATTATATATTTGTGCATATGATAATTTTCATGATGTGATAGCACATGATATTGCTACATGGAAATTAAATTGCATATGATTGATTATTAATTGACGCTTCGCTCCAATCTTTCCCAAATATTGGAGAACTTCAACCAGAATATACGAAATCAGCCTTGTCAATACCTTTTCGTTGTCCTACAATAAGAGAAGATATATATTATATATATATATATATAATTTAACATTGCCTAATCTCATCTAAACCAGAAGATTATCTTCTTTTTTACTGCTGGGAGAAGCCCAGGTTTTTAACTACCTGTAGTATATTTTTTTTAATTTATTAATACAAGTGGGAGCTAACTTACAATTCAGAAGCAGCAAAGAATATTTGCTCGAATTCTTGGTTTCTAGAAAAATCATATGAGCATATGGTTGGTATACCAAACATGATATAGTTCATATTCCCCGCTCTTAGGTGTAAGTATACAGGTTTTGAGTATGGGGAGGTAAGTATCTATATATGCGGTTCTATATGCACATGTGGTGCAGCTGATCATGGAATTCAAAATATTCTCGGCCATGAACATAAAAAAAATCCCAAGTGGTAGTGGAATTACAGGCTTAGCTTACACCGCATGCATGTCATATGCATCTATGGCGATTGAAGTTTCTTATTATCAATGTAACTATTACTTATTATCGCATCGAAATCGTTTTGTGTTGTCAAATTGTCGCAAAACAAACCCCCATATTTTAATGATATAACTTAAAACACAAAAAATAAAGTAAATGAAAGCAACAAGAGAAAAATCAAAATTTTTATTATAGCCAATAACAAAAGAAATCTTCATCTTACTATTTTCATGCACGGGCGCGTAATAAACACAAAACCTTTAAACAAACCAAACAAAAAAAAAAGAAGAGGAAGGAAACGCGTTGTAGGGATCAATGAGTTGCCTTATCAGCGTAGTGGTTAACCAACGCGAGAGCATTGCTGGTGAGCTTCTTGACGTCATCCACACGCCCGCAGACGTCAACCTTGTCAGGGTCGTCGGCGACGTCTTCGAAGGCGTCGGAACAGGTATCCTCGTCGGTGAGAGCGGCGCTGAGCCACGTCTGCACATTGCTCATCTGGAACCTGAACGATTCCACCGACCCCGTCCACGTCTCCAGTTCCCTCATCTGCCTCATCGAACCCTTCATCTCCTCCGCCGCGTCCTTCAGGTTCTCGAAGCAGTCCCGGAGCACGGCGGCGGCGCGTGAATCGTCGGCGGGGCGCGTGATGTTGGCTAAGTAGGAGGCGAGGTCGCGAGCCTTGTTGAGAGTGACGGAGATGGCGGCACGGGCGAGGCGGGCAGGGTCCTTCTGGAGGGATCCGGAGAAGGCGGAGAGAGAGGCCAAGCAGACGTCGGGGTATAAGGTGGCGTCGCAGCTCGTACGGATGAATTCTGAGTCGTCAGATGAGTTTGAAGGGGAATCGACGGCCAGGATTGGTTGAAGGGTGAGGAGTAATGTGGCTGAGAAGACGAGTACACGGAGAGGTTTCATGGTGTTTGTCAGTTGGATTCTTGATTGAGGCCAAGTCTGGCCGGGGGCTCAGCGCATATATATAAATATACAAAGAGGAAGAGCATATGATATTACCAAAATGACCCCGCCTCTCGAGTCTGGGTAAATTTGATGAAAATAATAGTATTTATTTAGTGTTGGAAAACGCATAAAATAATAAATGAATTTATAAGAGCATTCATAATCATAAGAACGATTGGGCGGAGACTCAATCTCATCATTGTTATTTTGTATAGAATCTTCTGATGTTCAAACTATTGCATCGAAAATTTTTTTGATAAAAGCATCGATTTTCTTTTGTATATGCCTTTAAAATAAAAGTGAAAACAGACACAAATTAACATTAAATTAGAGCTGTATAATAATAAATGTACGTTACAAAGCTTACTAGATCTTGAATTATATATACATATACTTTACTCAAAATATAAGATATTCATGTATTCTATAATTCTGGCACGATTGATTATTGAATTTTTTGAAAAATAATGAATTTAATATAGAATTATTGGATCTAATATTTTTAAAAATATATTCATTAATTTGTATTGAATTTTAAATTTGATAACATTTGATTAATATTATTAATTGCAAAATAATTTATAAAATTCAAATTCAACGCCATTAGATTTAATTATATTTTCCATTAAAATCATTTATTCCAAATTTAAAACCCAAAAATCAGTTTTACATTATAACGGTTGATTTGAAATTGATAAAAATTTATATTTTAAATAAAATCTATCTACTTAGATTGTATCTACTGATTTTAAGTTTTTCAAAAAGTATGTTTTAAATATAATTTATTTTTTCAACATATTTAATTCATATCTGACAGTAAATTAAAATCCACTAATTTTATTTGGGATTAAAAGTTAAGACAATAATTTTTTAGGAAAATTACTTAAAACAAAGCGACGAATCTATGTGTATTTTAAGGGCCCATGTAATTATAGAGTAAACGACCGGAAACACCGAAGTAGTGTATGAGATCAGTGAGGTGAGCGACGATGTCAGCCTTGGTCGGACTGTCGGGCGTCGGGAACTCGTCAAAGATGTCATCTAAGTCGGTCGCGCTGTATACGAACTGCATCTGCAATGCTTGGACAGATTCTTTGAACTGTTCATCCGGCACATTCGGCTTCGGCACCAGCTTTTTTATGGTATCCACCGTGTCCTTCAGATCATCCATGGTGTTTTCCACCGTCGTCTTCCCTGCTCCCAACAGATACCCCAGCTTCTTGTCCGATCCCGGTGGAATCTGGACCTTCTTCAAGTATTCCAATGTCTCCTGCGTTTTTGCCACCGATAGTTCTACGCTTTTGACGCACATTTTTCCCAGGTCGCCTCGGAAGCTTCCTGCGAATGGCATCAATATCTTAACGCATTCATCGGGGAATAAGTTTTTCTTGCAGACACTGCGGACGGCCTCTTCGTCGCTGGCCGCCGTCAGGTCACGTGATGCGACGGTGAGGTTCGGCAGGAGAATTACCACGACCAAAAACATGGTCATGGCGAAGGCATTCTTGAGATTCATGATCGACTTCTCTTGTTGTTTACTGTTTTAGTTTGATTTGCGAGAGGAGGAGAAAAAGAATGCGATGGGTGAGACGAAAGGCTCTTCCTTTCTCCATTGCATATATATGCTCGCGAAAAGGGTTGAGTTTACAATAACACCCATGTTTTGTAATGGAAAGTGAATCATTAGGATATCTCAATCATGAGAGATCTGTCTATATATGGAAATATATCAATGTTATTTTGGAAAAGTTGCATTGATTTGGTGGTTTTTTTAATAGAAAAAATCCAAAAAAAAATATCTCTAATTTATCATATAAAATACCCAAATAAAAATTTAACATATATATTCCCTAATTTCTAATTAAATTGCTCCCAAATCAATACATTGTATACAAACTGCATTTGGTTTAATAAATAAGGAATTATTATTTTTATTTATTAATGCAAGTTGTCGGAGCTAACTTACAATTCAGAATCAGCAAAGAATATATGCTCGAATTCTTGGTTTGTGGGAAAATCATGTGAGCGTGTGGTTGGGGTATGTAATTTATATTCCCCTCTCTTAGTCTTTGTGGTCAGGCCCAACTTTCACCTTTGGCCCAAACTCAATCTTTTTGTAAGTCCAAACCCTATTCATGATTAGAGAAAACCTAATCACCTCTTCACGTGCGAAAGAGTTCTTCCGTCTTTATCTTTCTTCTTCCTTCAAGATTCCCTCTCGGTTTAGTCCCTCCGTCGTAACATCTCGGCAGGAACTTTGCCATAGGATATATGCACTGTGGTGCAGCTGATCATGGAATTAAAATATTCTTGGCCATGAACATAAAAAAAATCCCAAGTGGCAGTGGAATTACAGGCTTACACCGCATGCATATCATATGCATATATGGCGATTGAAGTTTCTTATTATCAATGTAACTATTACTTATTATCGCATCGAAGTCATTTGCAGCTTTTCCAGTGGACTATTACTGTATAAGAATGTTTGTCCATACGATAAAAAGATGCTTGGGTATGATTAGTTTCGAAGTGGGAAATTAATTAGGATTATTTTTGTTTATGTTACAAATATTGCATTTGGAAGAGCATGGCGATGAGGCTACATGACTCAATTTCCAACCTACTAGACACGCCTTGTTTTGTTTCGTCAAATTGTCGCTAAACAAACCCCCATATTTTAATTATATAACTTAAACACAAAAAATAAAATAAGTGAAAGCAACAAAAGAAAATTCAAAATTTTTATTATAGCCAATAAAAAAAGCAATCTTCATCTTACTATTTTCATGCATGCGCGCGTAATATACACAAAAACCTTTGTAGGGATCAATGAGTTGCCTTATCAGCGTAGTGGTTAACCTGTGGAATTTGTGTATTTGTGAGTGTTTGGAACTGAATATCCAATTAAGAAACAAAAGAAATCAAAATAGGAACAAGAGTAAGAATAAAATGTTCAAGAAGTTTTTTGTGAAAAAAGGGGACTTCGTCCCTTGTTCGTATTATTACTTTCGTTATTACTTACATACATATTAAAGTATTTTGTATACAAAAACAAAGGAAAGTTATAATAAAAAAATGGAAAAATCGAAAAATTTGTCTAAAATTTTAATCGGTTCGATTTGGTTCGGGTATATATCGGTCCGAACAAATTTTTTTCCGTATTTTTTGGGCGTCTGCGATTAGGGTTTTATTTACTAGAATTTATAAAGTACATGATTTTTTCAACGAATAAGTTATAAATATAGGGTTTTTTTGGTAATACAAAAAGTACATAATTTTTTTATCTAACATTTCAAGAGTACAAGATTTTTTTTTTTGTAAATAAGTTATAAGTATAGGATTTTTTTGTAATAAAAAAAGTACAGAGATTTTGTGTATAACATTTTATTTTAAGAGTACAAAGTTTTTTCGGCGGATAAGTTATAAGTATAGGATTTTTTTGGCGCTAAGAAAAGTATAAGATTTTTTTGCTAATATTTCAAGAGTATAGAGTTTTTTCGGCGAATAAATATAAGTACATGATTTTTTTTAGTAATAAAAAAAGTATAGAGTTTTTTTAGCAGTACAGATTTTTTTGGTGATTTTTTTTTAAAAAAAAATGCTGAAAATAAGGTATTACTGCAACGGCTACTATTGTTTTGGAAAGAAGTATTGCTTGCTCTTGATTTGTAGAATCCGCACATGATCTACTCTCCATTTAAGGCAATGTCTTCAACGGAAATGTGTCATGTAGATTTGGACTTTCTAACATTTCCATAACCTTTGGGAAATCTTAATAATTATTAAAATAAAATGAATATTTTTTAAAAAATGGAACCCTCACAAATTGTACATTGTGATGCAAATTTTAGTGTGACATTTTGAATCTGAGAGTGTTTAAAACGTTTGACTAACAAAATATACATAATATTTTCAAATACTTTGTACATAAATTATTTTAATTTAATATACAATCATATATGTAAAGGAGAATCACATGACAAACCTTTACCTTTTTTATTTATCTCAATTATAGTCCATCAAATGACCAAATATTCATTTAATTTTAATAATTTAAAATATTTTTAATAATATGTATATATGTATGTATATATATTGAAATTTTTCTTATTTTTTATTTTTTAATTATTATGATTATTATTTTATTTGAAATTATTTTTAATAATTTCTAGATGGAAAAATCATGTTGATGACATGGATGATCGGCTAAAAGAAACTTTTACGGCATCAGATTCACATTTGTTCTTGTGACAAGTATTTTTCATGGTGGGGATTTTTCACAAAATTATAAAGTAAAAGAATATTTTTTTGATAGACTATAAGGTGTATTTGAATATAAATAAGTTATAAACGTTCAATGTCATCACTAAATAAATCTATAATTTAAGAAAATATAATAACAAATTTAAGGATATAAATTGTCATTACAATATTTGAAGTAATAGATATTTGGAATTACATGATTGACTTATAATACAATAAGTTTGTATAATTTTTTTATAATTTTAAAAATTTGTCCAACATGCTGTTTTTTCTTTCTCTAAAAAGATACTGCGTTTAGAATAAAATATAAAATTTAAAACCACTGGAAAACTAAGATGAGGCAATCTTCAAAATGAAGGTGATTCCTTGTGTTGCCTACGATTATGCCTCCGCTCATGAAGAAGACTTGTTACCAAGTCCATCGGAACTTTACGCATCACGTGACGCGCCACTGGGAACGGTGGCGACTTCATCTTCATCACCATTCACCACAGAGTAAGTCTCGTAGCCCCTCGATGCCGCCACGATGCCGCCTCCGGCGACACCATTACGTCGATATTTATGGAGGCGGGATCTAATGGAAGGATATGACATAATATACCGAGACTAGTGGGTATCCTTCACTAGCACATGGTCAAGAAACTGGTAGTGCTCCACAGCCAGCTGCTGAAACGATTGGTTATGCGGGTTATGCCCATCAACCACACAGTGTACCGGTTGCGTATACCACTCATCCACACCAAGGAAGTGTGGAGTATAATGGGCAAACATATGCAGCAGCAATGGGTTACACTCATCAGCAACCATATGGAAGTGCAACTGGATATACTCCACAGATCTATGGAAGTGCAACCGGATATACTCAACAACAATATGTTGCAGCGTACGGGTATGCTCCACAAACCCACCAATCTGAAGCTGTTGAAACCTCTCAACAAACGGCTGAGCCACAATCTGCTTTACCGGGGTCATCTGGAACGGCTGATTGGAATCCAAACCAGCCATATTCCGGAACAGCTGATTGGAGTGCTGTGTATCAGCCTTACTACCCTTACACAGCAGATTCCACCACCACCACTAATCCTATAACCAAACATGTTGAACAAGGCTGTGCATTTTAGGAATCTGTCTTGGCATAGACAGTATTCCAGAGGAAGAGGAGAATCTGATCGCGCTGTTTTTCTACCTGTTGGAAGCATGGACTCAAACTGTTGGAGGCTACTGACCATGCAACGAGGGCCAAGTTCCTAAGAATGGAGTCTCCTGCTTGTCTGCTGTAAGTTTATGTGTTAATTATACTCAGCTTTTAATTATGTCTTGAATATCGTCCTATATTTCTTTTGCTCTTTTTTTTTCCCGACGACGGTGTTCATCACCATCAACCCTAGCCGACATGCTATCTTTTTCTTTTCTTTTTCGACGACGTTCGTTTATCGCCGTCAATCCTAGTTGTTGTGAGATCTTTAAACCTAGATTTTATCTCCTTTCGATTGGAAAACTCCAATCTTCGATCCGCGTATTTGCATCACTTTTTTTTTTCTCCAACGGCTTCTCACGCATTATGCGTCACGCTTTTTGCGTCTTTACTTTTTCTTCTTTTTTCGGTCTAGCCATCGCAATTTTTTTAGCTGCCGACCTCATTGTCGTGCAACCCAACTCGCGCATACGCGTCGCACATTTGTGCCATATCAGTCTCTGAGATTACCGTTTCATTCAAGAATTGGTGCCAGATGGCGACTTCGGATGACTCATATGATATCTCAAGATCAACTTGCAGATGCACTCACCAAATCTCTTCCGCGCGCACGCTTCGATCATTTTCAGATCAAGATTGGACTCGCTCACGAGCCTCATCTTGCGGGGGGCATAGTGGAAGGATATGACATAATATCTCCAGCGATATTATTCTCAAATCACATCCCTAATTTTATGCTTTATTGTTGTCTAGAATATTGACTATTCATTGTTTAATCGTTGATTATATATGCCTATATATTCATGTATTATTATTAATAAGAATACAAGAAAAACATTTCTCTTATAGGATCCGTCAGCAACTTCGATTTTCACTTGTTCATTTTCCAAGCTCACTATACTCACAGAAAGAAGAGCATGCTTTCATAATTTTTTTCTTTGGTGATACGTAAGGGAACTCTCTGCCTGATGGTGACGTTGAGTTGAACTCGTCGTTCTGTTGTTTTGTTGCTCGTCGGCGGCAGCGATTTCATCGAATTCAGGTATGCGGTTGTAACC